TTCCAGGGGGATCAGGCTGAAGCTGGGACTTGCTGAAGTGTCCCTCGCATGCCACCCCTTCCTTCCTGCTCCTCTATCCTGGTGCCCTCATGCAGGGCCAAACTGAAAAAATCACCCGCGGAGAATCCTGGTCCCAAGGTAGCCTTCTGGGGCGCCGTGGCTGAGGAGAGATGGTTGTGGCAGGTCGCTGGGGCTCGTGGCAGACCACGGGCTGGGAGATGCACCTCCCACCGTCGGTCTGCAGGGAAGTGTTGGCAAGCACAGGGCCAGGTCCTCAAAGGCCCCAGGTGCAGGGGCCCGGCCAAGCAGCCTGTGGAGGAAGCCACATGCCGGGCCACCCCGGGAACACGACTGCAGGTCACGGCCCCTCCCACCTCCTCCTCTTCCCAGACATGGCGCAGGGCTCAGAGACACCTCAGACGCTGCTACCAAAGTCCAAAGGGCATCAGTTGCTCCTCCACAGCCCCCCCACCCCCCACCCAGCAGACCGCGTTGTCCAGCCAGCCCGGGGCCTCCTCGGGTGCCAGCACAAAAGTGCGGAGACACACCGACCTCTCAATATCTTTTAGGATGTTTTGCTGCCACTCTAAGGGAGCGCCCGGAGGGCCAGCTGGGCTTCGGCGTTGACAGCAGAGCCCCGGAAACCGACGTGGAGAGCTGGGTGTACGTCCCCATGAGGAGGCGGTCCCCACCTCCAAGGCTCTCCCCTTGCGGGGAGCGGCAGCCTCAGGGGCTCAGGAGGAGCACCTGGGAACCTCGGAGTGTGTACATCACACCTCCCGGTTGTCCCGCTCTGAGACAAGGAGCCGGGCTTTGCATTCCCACAGCAGGCAGTCGTGGGCTGAGGACACCTGGGGAGCTGGGAACTCCCTGGCACTTCCCTGGCTTCTCTTTGTATTCACATTGGGGCAAAGGAGGAGTTTGTGGCCCAGGGCTGTTCTCCAAAGATTCCAGAGTGACCATTAGAGGCAAAAGCTGGGAGGGTCCTCCGCCTCCCCTGTGCTGCCTGTCCAAGCTCCCTGGTCTCCGGGAGACCCTTTCTGCGGTTGTCTCAGCCAGGTGGTGTGTTCTCATCGTCTTTAAAGTGCCACACCATGCAGCTCTATAAAACTTCCTGTCCTCTTCCCTCATGGCCTTGTGGCTGCCCCACATCCTCTTACCATAGTGGCCCTGCCAGGAATTATTTGTCTAGCCCTGTCTCTGGCCATGAGCTCACTTTAGAAGTCTTTGTTGGTTCTCTTAAAATTTTAGAAGGTACTTTTGCTTGTTGTAAAGCAAAGTTTCCAAGCATACAAATGTTTATGGGAATGATGGAAATTTCCTGCCACCTTCAGTCCCAGGCAGTTTCTGGCCAGGTGCTTTTGTAAGTAATGTATGGGTGTGTATTACATGGATGCCAGCAAGCTACCCCTTTATCCCTGAGGGTGACTGAGGGTGGGCGGTGGCTGGTGGGGCACTTTCTGCTGACTCTCTGGGCCAAGCCTGCTCACAGCCGTCCCCCCAGGCTCTGGTCTTTATTCAGACTCCACTGCTACCGTGCCGCTGCCTGGCCCGCCATGGCCCCGCACCCTGCTCCTCTACGCCCCAGGCACTCTGGGCACTCTTGCAGCCTCCCTGTCCCATGACTGGGGAGCTGTGGCCCCCAAGCCACTGGCAGGCAATGGCACTTGGACGGAGCTTCTCCATGAGGTTTTCGGTGTCCCTAGTGCACGCCCTGGGGCCCAGTACCTGCGCGTTCTGCTGCCTGCCCCTCCCAGACTCGCTCCACAGCCCGGAACGGCCCTGCTGAGACTCGGCGGCTCCCGCAGGCCCTGGGGCCTGTCCGTACGGACTCCCAGAGGCTCCTGGCGGGACGGGGCCAATCCCTGCAGTGGTGGTTGGGTTCACAACAGGCCCTTTACTGGCTGCTCTCCCTTCCCTGTCCCAGTCCCCGTACCCTACTGTGCTTCCTAGAACCACTGTCGGTGTCTGCTCCCAGGGCCGCAAGGCGGCCAGGGTGTCTCCCTGTCCTCTCCCTTTCCCGCTCTGCGCTTTCTCCCGCTCTTGCTCAAGCAGCCGGTAACGACACGTCCTCTCCGGCCGTCCTCCAGCTGCTCTGTTCCCTCCATCGTGCCCACGACACTGGGGACAGGAACTCCTAAGGGGACAGGAGCACCTAAGGCAGTCCCTGCAACAACGAGCCCTTCCCAGCTGCCCGACGGTGAGCCCGGAGCTGTCACTGAGCATCCAGAGCGGGGCCCAAGCGAGCTGAGTCTGGACCAGTTCAGTCCCAGCGAGAAATGTGGCAATGTGAGCAGTCGAGAGGTCTGTTCAAGACCAACAAAAATAAAATTTAATTTTGCTCCGGTGTGGGCAGCCAGTCCTTCCTTCCTCAGGACCGATCGTCAGCGTCCCTGGCGAAGGCACACCCGTTCTCTCCACAGACGGCTGTCCCAGGGGCCCCTCTGAGGCTGGCGTCTCCCAGGCAGGACCCGTCAGCCCGGCGGGAGGGTTTTGTTTCCAGAGAGGCAAGCGGCCACGGTGTGCGGACGTCAGGCTTCCCTCTGTGCTGCGGGCGTCCCTCCCGTCTGCCTGGCCCTGCCAGGGCTCTGACTCCGAAGGCTGGCAGGGGCGTCTTGCGGCCCCCGGCCCGGGAAGAGCCACAGCCACCCTAAGCTATCTTCAGGGGCACGCAGCCCTCCAGCTCCAGCAGCTCCGGCCAGCCCTCGTATTTGTTCGTCTGTGGGTTGTTCTTCAAGAACTAGAGAGAGAAGAGAAGACAGAAACACAGACGATGGGGAGGCTTTTAGGACTCACACCTGCCTGTGCGTCGTGCTTTAAACCCTAAATGCCTCATCACTCCATCCTCACCATAGCCCCATGGGGGGAGGGTGTTGGGTAGTACTGACTCATTTCACAGACGGGGAAACTGAGGCCCAGAGAGGGGGTGCAACTTATCTAAGTTCTCAGAGATGGGATCGAGCCCAGTTACTGCTGTCATGCCCTGTGAGGTCACTAAGTGTTGGGAGAGGGGGCCTAGAGAGCTTTAGCCCCGTCCCCGAATTCTCCATCAGCCCCCCCAGGATACCCCAAATAACAATAATAATAGCAACAATAAAAAGAAGACTCCTAGCAATTCTTGAGCGCTTGCTCTATGCCAGGTGCTGCTGAGATGCCATATGTATTTAATCCCCACAGTGGTCTTATGGAGCGAGCACTGTTACCACCCCATTCTACAGATAGGGAGACCAAGCCACAGAGGGCCAAGGTCACTGCCTGTGGTCACCAGGTGGTAAGTGGTGGAACCACTGTGTAATATTAATTAATACCAGTAATAAATATATGAAGAGAACAAAATCAGTTGAGGTCGTGTCTAAAATACTCAGGTTTAGTTTACGAAAGGAAAAAACGTATATGGCAAAATCTAGTGTTGGGATAATTACAGCTGACGCTTAGGAAGGAAAGTAGCACTTCATCTAGATACTGCTTCTCTAAAACCCAGCTTCCCGAGTGTGGGGACAAAGGGCACGTTGGTTTAGTCACTGTTCTGGGAGTTGGGTCCTGGTGAGCTGGGCACAAACAGGGGAAAGTCGGGCTGAGTCTCCTGTGCTTGCGGACTTCCTGCAGCTGCCTGGCGGGTTGCTGGGTCTGGTGCCTGTGCTTCAGGGCAGCCCAGCACCGCCTGCCCGTGCAGCTCGGCACCCAATGCTCCCCCAAAGCCCCCCAGCCCCCGGAGCGCTGGCGGAGCCCCGGCCTCCTGCCTGCTGCACCTGGAGGGCAAGAACAGGCTCCTCCTTCTCTTCCGCAGGCTACACCAACCTCCCTTATTCTAGAAAAGCGAACACATTCTCTCAGAAACTCATACACACAAACCAAACCAAGGTTTTCCACACAACGACAAACCCTCCTCCCTGCCCAGCCCGAGTCCCGAGTGTGCCCGTCTGCCTCTCCCAGCCCTGCCCCGGCCGCCGCGCCTCCCTTCCAGAGTCCGCTCGCCTGGCTGGGCGGCTCCTCGGGGGATGAGGACGGCAGAGCTGCTGGAGGCAGGCCGCCAGTGTGGGAAAGCTGGCGTGGGAAAGCCGGCGCATCCCTGAGTGGTTCTGGGCCCTGGGCAGGCTGGTGAGAACTCTCCAAGTCTCGGTTTCTCATCTGTGAGACGAGAACAGAAGTGACCCTGCCCACGGCGTGCTCAGCACCAGTCTGCACAGCGCGAGCGCCTGCCGGGTGCTTGTCTTTCTGACCTTGCCACTCTCCTGATCAGGCCTCCCAGGGCTCCCCACTGCCCTCCGGTCAGCGTCTGCTCTCCTCAGTGTCCCACGTGTCAGAGCCCTTGGCCCTCACCTCCCCGTCTTGGGACCTGGGCAGAGACAGGCCTCTCACTGTTGGGGACTGGCCTGCATCATGCGCTGAGGGCCTGGCCCACCCCCAGGCTTCTGGAACTGCTCCAAACTGGAGATGGACAGGTGGGGACAGAAGCCACAGCATTTCCCAGGGACCCTCGAGGGTCCTGCCAACTCCCTCCCTCCTCCAGTTAGTGTCCCTCAGGCCTCTGCTCAGGGCTACCTCTGCCATGTCCCCTCCCGGGCTCCCTCCACAGGCCCCCTTTGTGGGCTCGCTCCATGTCCCTGCTGGCTGCAGGTTCCTTCTCTCCACAGGAAGCTTAGAAGGAACTCAGGGCTCCCCTGGTCCAAACCTTTCCTTTTACAGATGGGGAAACTGAGGCCTGGAGGGGGAGGGTCAGGCCAAGGTCACAGCTGGGACTGGAAGCCAGGCGTCCTGCCCCTGCTCTGGCTCTCTTTGCCCATCACGCAGCCTGCATTTCTGCGTTTCTTCCTCTTTCATCCACGTCTCATTTCCCCCTCATCCTTATTTTCTCCTTTTCCTTCTCTTATCTGGTGCTGACCTACACACCATCGCATTTACACATGGCCCACCTTTTGCAAAATGGTCAAGGCAGCTTCCCTCTGGGGACCAGCCAGTCACCCCTCCCTGCCCTCTGGAGCAAATAACAACCGGGTGATTCTCTCCAGAGGCTCCTCTCAGCAAGGCCCGTGGCAGGTGACTGTTCTTCCCACGCCCACCTGGCTCCTCGTCCGTCCCTCCCTGGTGCACTCCACCCCTTCGCAGGGACGGGGCAGTGGCCGGGACCCACCTGCTCAAAGGGGCTTTTGCTCCTGAGGTCTTTGGCTCCCAAGAAGACCCAGCTGTCACGGAAGCCCAGCTGATCTGCGTAGGAACTCCCCAAACTGGAGAAGAGCTGCCTGACTTCGCTGTTCATTCTGCAGAGGACCAGAGGGGATGGTCAGGGCACAGGGTGGCTCGGAGGGGCATCAGGTGGCGGGCTCAAGCGGGGCGAGGTTCCCGCCCTCTGTGCCTCCTTCACCATCTGCCCTGGGCGGAGGCGCAGAGAACGGGGCCGCGCTCGGGAAGGACAGGAGGAGGGGTCCGTGCCTTTGTCTCCGAAAGGGGCTGGGTGGGTGGAGCGATGCTGAAACAGTGCTCTTTCTGTTCACAAACGTAAGACACGTCTACTTGGAAAATACAGAACATCAGCAAGAAGCAACTACAAAATACAGCCTCGCCTCCTTCCCTTGACGAAATCAACATTTTGATATATTGGCTTTTCCCTCACTGAGCACCAGAGGGTGAGCATTCTTCCAGGTCCTGAATATTTTCTGCATCGTCATTTTTGATGCAGTGTATCCTCATTTATGTATATATAATAATATATCATATGTCACCATGTCATAATTTCTGTGACCACTCAGCTATTACTGGACAGGGCGAGAGAGCGTCTCCAGTTTTACACTGTTGTAATGGAGGCTATGACGAAACTTCTAGCACATTCTCTGCGCGCTCGTCTGATAATTTCCTCAGGATAAGTTGCCAGAGGTGGCGCTGGCAGGAGCGAGGACCGGGCATGCAGTCTGGAAGTGTCTGGCTTTCGTCACTGCGCGGCCTGGCAGGTGGAGTTTTCTACTTACTTGGTCCCTGGGTCATCGTAGGAGGCCACCAGCACCAGTGTGCCCTCTGGAATTTCTTTAAGGAATTTCACCAGGAACTGAACATCTGGGGGAGGAAGGAAAATGAGGTGCTGGTCATAGGGGACATGACCGCTGGTCATTCTGTCTTCCACTGTCTGGGAGTGGCCCGGGGTGGGTGGACACAGAGCTCAGAAGCCAGGAGGAGGCAGCACCCTGGGAGGAGCCCCGCGGCCTTTGTCCTGGGGGTGAGCAGTGAGAGGTAGGTGATCTGCGGTGGCTTCTGGACCCTGGTGAGTGTGCCCCACCAGGTGAGTGCGATGTGCCACTGGGGTGAGGACTCCTGGTCAAAGGGCCCTGTGGGCCCAGCCCTCAGGGGACCAGGCACCATCCTCTCCCAGGAACTCTGGGTTCTTTGCACACCCCTGACTCCCTTCTAACTGGATGGTGCCCGGATTGTGTGAGCCGACTTTAGAAGGAACACACACGGCGGCAGACAACCGAGACCACTGAGAGAGACGTGAGTCTACTCCAGCTCTCCTGCTACAAGAAGCAGCAAGACTTCGTTTGTGTCTGTAGCGCCTCCCTAACCTGCAGAGCTATTAATATTGAACCGAGAGCAGGCCTAGGCTCAGCACCCGGGGAGGCGGCAGCTTCTGGCTCACTGTGAGGATGATGATTTCTTTCTGTTATCTTTATTTTTATAACCACTTTTCTGCATAATTAAGGCAATAATATAGTTTCCTTTTAAGACGTGCTCTTCTAATGAAAGGCCCTTGAACTTTCAGGACAAAAACAGTGTGCTGCTGGCCGGGCACGGTGGCTCGTGCCTGTCATCCTAGCACTCTGGGAGGCCGAGGCGGGCGGATTGCTCAAGGTCAGGAGTTCCAAACCAGCCTGAGCAAGAGCGAGACCCTGCCTCTACTATAAATAGAAAGAAATTAATTGGCCAACTAATATATATAAAAAAAAATTAGCCGGGCATGGTGGTGCGTGCCTGTAGTCCCAGCTACTCGGGAGGCTGAGGCAGGAGGATAGTTTGAGCCAGGAGACTGAGGTTGCTGTGAGCGAGGCTGACACCACGGCACTCACTCCAACCCGGGCAACAAAGTGAGACTCTGTTTCAAAAAAAAAAAAAGACAACAAAACAACAACAAAAAAATATACTGTGCCGGACAAGCACCATTCGTTTGTTTGTGCTGGTAGCAGACACTGCAGTCCGGCGCTGGTCTGGCGTGGGAGTGGATGCTGGGAGAAAAGCAGTGTGCCTTCTGCTGGCTATCACGGTGCTTTAAAAGCCGCGGCCCTCTTTTGTCTCCTGGGGGAAGGGCTGCTTGCTCTCAAATGCTTGTTTCTGGGTCTCCATCAGCCACGGCTATATCCAAGCTCGTAATATGGCACTTTAAAGCTTAGTTTGATCGTTAAACATCGCTCCCCTTTTCATTCTGACAGATGACTTCCTTGCTTCTGAACCAGTGGGATGGAGCCACGGAGGCAGAAAGGGAAGGGAGACGAAACTGGCTGCCCGGGCCCTCCGCCGGCCAGGCTGGCCCCTCCCGGCAATGATTTCAGTTATCACTGAACCCTCACGCCACCTTGTGGAGTAGACACTGCGGTCACCTGTGTCTCACAAGTGACGACAAGAGGCCCCAGGGGAGCCAGCGGCTTCAGGCCACGAGTCTGAAGTCTCTGAGCCCAGAGCTGGGCCTTTCCCACAACCCTGGCCCCAGGCCAGCTGGAGTCCGCAGGCGCCTGGGCAGACACCGGCCCTCAGCCCATGCCTGCCCGTCTTCTCAGCCCTGCCCCAGCTCCCTCCTTACCACGCGGGACTTGCACGCCTGCATGAGGACACCTCGGCGTGCCTGTCCAAGTGCCACCCATGCCGCCCTCCCACCCCACAACGGCCGCCCCCCTGCCGGCTGGAGGGAGGGGCACACCTGGGAGGAGGCCCGCGTGGGCCGCCGCAGGCTCCAGGCTGGCACAGCCCCTGGCCCTGCAGGCTCCTGCCTGTGGGCTGGGCCGTAGCCTGGGAAGGCCGGGTAGGGCCCTCTGAAGTCCTGCCCAGGGCAGGGCCCGGTGCCCTCCTCTGAGTGGGGCCACGGACCACCTTCCGACACCCCCACTTCCCACAGTTCGGCCCTTCTCTTGTTTGCGAGGCTGAGAGGGTCAGCTCTCTGCTGCCTGCTGACTCCCCTTCGGGCTCACAGGTTAGGTGGGCATAGGCAAGGTGGCTCCGCCCTGGGGCTGAGGCGAGGACGCAGGGAGGCAGGAGAGAGGACACCCAGCTGTTGGCAGCTGGGAAGCCCCTTCTGCTCTGCGAGGGGCTTTCTGGGGGTGGCGGTCACACACGCTCTGCGTCCCGGGGACGCCAAGCCCGGAGCTGGCCCCTGGTCTCAGGGGGACGGAAGGGAAACGGCGTCTAGCTGGGCTCCAACAAGGGGCTGGGGCCCAGCTCCTCTGCGCGGATGGAAACCAGCCCTGTAGGGCCAGATCTCTGCCGCCTGCTGCTTTCCACTCGTCCTCGAGCCTCCTGTGCCGGAGGGGGGTTGGGTGACCAGCTGGGCGGCGGGGTTGGCATACTCTGCCACGCTTTGAAAGATGCCAGGAATGCAGAGTGAGGCCCACCCCACCATGGTGGCTGGTTGGCAAGGAAGCTGCTGGTGGGGACTTCGATGTCCGGGACTTCAGCCTGGGCAGGTCAGCGCCTGTCTTGCCTGGCCGTGCTCAGGGCAAGGAGGGGTGACTCTCTAAGGAGCACGCTGTGCAGAGAGGCTCGAAAGCATGTCTGCGCAGAGAGGAACGAAAGGCACCTGCAGGCGGGTGCAGAGAGCTCGGAGCCCCAGAGAAGTCCTTTCTGGACCTCAGGGACCTTGACCTGTCCTTGGGTTACCAGAGACCCAGGTCCCTTACCTAGCAGAGCGTGAGTGGGTGCAGACACACGCCCTCGTCCTCAGCACTTCAGTGGCGCTTGCCTGGCCTGACTGCCGGCACTGGCATTTCTCCGCGGGAAGGTCTTCTCCGGCCTCCAGCTCCACGCATCTCCCAGGGGCAGGCCAGAAGTGCCGGGAAGTGCCGAGGAACTAGGGGCAGGGCCGCCCCCTCGTTTCTCTGGGGTGTCTCTGAGGCATGTATTTGGTGCTGGCTCCAGTGTTCCCACTGCCATGTTTAATGGCTTGCTAGCACATTTCCCTTCCGCTCCCTTCCTCCCCCGCCCGCCCCCCTGCTCCCCTGCTGACATTTTGCCTCCAGGTGAACTGCTGCACTTGGGTTCTTGTCTCAGGGTCTGAGTCAGCCCCCACCTGCCTCGTTCTGCTTGTCTGCAGTGGGAAATGAGTGGCAGCCCCGCGCCAAAGGCTCCCTGCCCCACCAAGGGGCTCTGCCCACCCTGCGGCTTCGGTGCGGGAGAGCACCTACCTCCAGAGTACATGTCAAAGGTTTTCTGCCGCATCACGGTCCCCGTGGTTCCTAGGGGTCAAGAGAGCAGAGCTGTTACCTTCTGCTTGCTTGTCATTTTGTGAAGATGGCTACGCTGTTGTCTAGAGTCTAAGAATAGAATGCGAGCTGAATGAAGTCAGGTCCCGCAGGGGTGTGCAGGACTGAGCTGCTGCCCAGGGATTGCTGGGCTGATCCAAGTGGTCCAGCACGCAAAGGCTGAGGGTGTCCCTGGAATCCAACAGAATCTACCAAATCCGAGTCTATGCTCTGTCCTGCCACTTCCTAGCATGTGACTTAACATTTTGACCTCAAGTTTTGCATCTGCACAATGGGTGGTGTGAACTAAATACAGTATATTTAAAATAGTACGCATACAAGATGGATTTTAGCTCCAAAATCTTAACAAGGATGATGATCTTCATCATCATTCCCACCTAAATAGAAAATCTGCAACTTGAGTCCTCCAACTCGTGAAGGCAAAGAGCTGTGCAGAGAGCTAAATGGCACTCAGTTTCCCAGGGCCCAGGAATGTGAATTGCGGTTTTTGGGTTTTGTGCCAGGAGGCGGCAAAAACCCCATCCTCCAGGAACCCCGTGCTCTGGAGGGAAGTGCAGTTCGCCCTCGCTGCCACCAGGTGGAGGTGTTGCAGCGGGGATGGCGGGCCTGCAGCAGATCCTGCAGCAGGGAGGACCAGCCCTGGGCCATGGCAGTGCTCCCACATGGCCAGGCCCGCACAGCCCTCCAGGATCCTCAGAGACACGTAGCGTCCACACAGAGCTTCGCCTGAGGCCCTTGGGAAGGGCCAAAGAACCCCTGAAACTGCTTTGTCGACCGTGTGCGGATGGTGGCCACGAACTCTGCCCCACTAAGGGTAAGAACTCCTGGATCTTTAGCAATGCTTGTGTCGTCCGGCTCATTATAGACTGATGAGGGCCTGGGGCCCAAGATGACTGCCGGGCCTCCCGAGAGCTGGCACGCAGGCGTGCTATCTGTGTGCTTCGGGTTCCTAGTCTAGGCAGGTCGTTCAGCCGAGTGCTTAAAGCCTGGAGCCAGCCAGGTCTGGGTTCAAATCTGGACCGTTCTGCCAGCTGTGGGGCCTTGGCAGGTTGCTTAGCCTCTCTCAATCTCATTTCTCACCTGGAAAATGGGGCTATGGAGCACAGCTTTATTCTAGCAGAGTGATGGGGCTAAATGTACACAATAAGTGCTCAATAAATGTTCACTCTTACGGGTGGTGGTTTTTATCTTTTGGATTTGTGAGAGGCAGTGAAGGAGGCTCCACTCTGGGGCCATCTCATAGGAGAATATTCGAAGAGGTTTTCTCGGGGGCGGCCCATTTGGGGAAAGAGAAACTCAGCAGGTTCCGCCAGGTCACTGCGGCTGGAGCCATTCCTGCCCTCCGCACCTTGGGGTGAGAGCAGGCTGGGGGGATTGTCCGCGTAAGCTCAGGCTCCTGCAGTCATCTGGGGTCTGGCCTGCATGGACGAGTGCCGAGGCCACCCGAGCTGCCTGCACGAAGGAGCCGCCGTGCCAGCAGCCACTGTCCTGAGGCCGGAGGGGACAGGCCTGGAGGAGCGGTGCTCAGCGTCCTGCTCTCCTGCCCGGCCCCTCTTCCCGGCTCCCAGGAAGCTGGCCAGGCTGTCCTGACCCCCGCCTGTCCACGCAGGGCCCCATCCTGCAGGCCTCGCCTCTCCCCACTGCCTCTTCCAGGTTTCAGCCAGAAAGACCCTGCGGCGCCCCGTGAGCCTCTCCCCTCCCTCCCTCTCCCTTCCCTGCCCCTGCTCGGGTGGCCCTGCCTGGAGGAGCCTCCCTCCCTCCCTTCCCTGCTCCTGCTCCACGTGCCCCTGCCTGGAGGAGCCTCCCTCCCTCCCTTCCCTGCCCTTGCTCGCGTGGCCCTGCCTGGAGGAACCTCCTCCACTTTCCTCCTGGCAACCTCTACTCCCTTTACGCCCAGTGACCACCGCCTCCCTCTGGAAGCCTCCCCTGACCCCCGGCCCACTCTGTGTCCCAGCTCCCGTATCTGCACTTCCGAGATGCCCCCACACTGGCACTGTTGTGGGCTTCACTGACACCCGTGGGCGTGAGAAGCCAGGCTCTGTCTTCCAGTTCTCGGCTGCTGACCCCAGTGCCCGGTACCGGGCCTGGCCACAGTAGCCGCTGCCCGTGTTGTTGGATGAATCAATGAAGGTGTGCGTTCAGCGTGTGATCCCCCATTGCCATGGATTGTCCCCTATGGCCTTGTGTGTGTTGGTTTAAGCTGGGGAGGTTTTGAGGCTGGGCCATGTTTCAAGAAGTGTGTCCTCCCAGGTCTGTGGCAGAACCAGGTGTTTCTGACCTTCTGTCCCCCAGGCCGGCCCACCACCCCTGCCCCCCAGTGCCCAGAGCCTGGTGGGGCTGTCTGGGCTGGACCAGCGACTCACCATTCACCGGATGTCTCTGACCTTCTGTCCCCCAGGCCGGCCCACCACCCCTGTGCCCCCAGTGCCCAGAGCCTGGCGGGGCTGTCTGGGCTGGACCAGCGACTCACCATTCACTGGATGTCTCTGACCTTCTGTCTCCCAGGCCGGCCCGCCACCCCTGTGCCCCCAGTGCCCAGAGCCTGGCGGGGCTGTCTGGGCTGGACCAGCGACTCACCATTCACTGGATGTCTCTGACCTTCTGTCCCCCAGGCCGGCCCACCACCCCTGCCCCGCAGTGCCCAGAGCCTGGCAGGGCTGTCTGGGCCGGACCAGCGACTCACCATTCACCAGGGCGATGTTCAGGCCTCTGCCCACATTGTTTTTCACGGGACTCATGATCCTGAAGGTGAAGAAGAAAAACAAATACAACAGTCAGTGCCGAGTGTGCAATGGATGCTCTGCTCTCATGACTGGGGAAATCCGAAAGGGTCCATGCGGGGTGACGTGGAAGTGTCCGGAAACACCTGGAATGATTTGGGCCTCTGTTTTCTCCTGGAAACCAGTGGTAGGCTGCATTCTCTGAAGGGTTTCTTGTGGCATGTTTGGACCAGAACAGTCTGCTCAGAGAAGAGGTGGGGTCCCTGCCTGGGCTCTGAGCTGCTGTGGGCATGCCAGCCCGCCTGCCCAGGCTGTGAGGACTGGCTGCTGGGAAGAGACAGAATCCAGAAAGTTCTGCCATCCCGGGGCGTCTGGGCACCCCACGTGGGGCGCAGCCGTGTTCTGCTGGCCCACCATGCACACCTGTCTTCTGGGGCTGCTGGCAGAGCTGTCTCCAGCCTCAGGCCGGGAAGTTGCCGGCACTGAGCTCTCTCTCCCAGGCCCAGACAAGCAGAATGTCCTGTGTCCCTGGCCACAGTGACTGGGCTAGGCGTGGTCCTGTGACTGACCCAGGCCAGTCAGTGAGGACCAGTCTTGGGACTTTTGCAGGGCCAATTCAGACTGTGTAGCTCTCTTCCCATTGGGTGCTTGGCTGGGCTATTATGTCAAACCAGCTGGTGGCCTCTCTCCTTGACCTCATGGAGAAGTCCATTTTCAGTAGAGAAAAAAACAGAGGAAAACAGAGCTGAAGATGGTGTGAGAAGGAGCCCTGATGACATGGTTTGACCCCTGGATCTAGCTGGTCCTGAAGTCCACCACCTCTGGCTTTTGAGGTATATGAACCAATAAGTTCCTTGTTTTGACTAAACAAGTTGTATTTCGGTTCAGAATCCTGGCTGAAAGACCCATCTGTGTTCTTTTGTAGGGTGAACTTCTGCCCCAGGGCCTTTACTCTCCAGGTTGGATAATGGATATACAGTCTTTCTCCTGCGCCTGGACGGGAGTCCTGGCACCTGCTACAGCTGGGCTGTGATGCCTGGGTCTTGGACTGGAACCTTTTACACAGGTGCCTCTTTTTGTGGGAAGCCCAGGCTGGGCTGTTAGACCTGAGTCAAATCCTGGCTCACTTTTCTCATCTTCACAGTAGGGTTAATAAATAGCAGCCCCACCTCCCCAGGATTTGGCGAATGGATGATGAGATGTGATGTCAAAGCACTTAGTAAGGTGCAGGCAGACACAGAAGCTGGACTATTATTTGTGACTCAGGTACTTGAGTACAAGGAACCCTGGGGAAGATGTCACTGGTCTCACAGGCCTGCCCCCTGCAGCCTCTGAATTTTCTAATGGATGAAATAAAGGAAACACAGGCGCCCTTGAGTACTTACATGTGGTTTTCAAAGCACAAAGAGGGGCCCACGACGTTGGCGGCCCCGCTGCAGATTTTAAATGCAAAGAAGTTGGCTGGGCAGGGCTTGCTGAGGTCGCACTTGGTCTTTACGGCTTCTGGGGAGGGAACAGACCAGCTTTTGTGGGCAGCAGCTCAGGAAGGGCCTGGGGGAGGAGGGGAGAGGGGGAGAGGGGAGGGGGGGAGGGGGGGAAGGAGAGGAGGAGGGAAGGGGAGGGGAGGAGGGGAGGGAAGGGGAAGAGGAGAAGAGAGGAAGCCGGAGAGAGGGGGGAGGGGAAGGAGGAGGCAGGGAAGGGGCAAGGGGAGGGGGCAGGGAGGGAGGGGAGAGGAGGACAGGGGGCGGAGGGAGCGAGGAGGGATGGAGGGCAGGACGGGAGGGAGAGAAGAAGGATGGGGAGGGGAGGATGAAGAGGATGGGGAGGGAAGGACAAGGAGATGTAGACGGAGAGGGAGGGAGATGGGCGAGGGGAGGATCAGGGATGAGGAGGGGGAGGACAAGGAGGATAGAAGGAGGACGGGGAGGACAACCAGGAGGATGAATAGCAGGGAAGGTGGGGAGGGGAGGAAAGGGGATGGGGGACATGGGGGACGGGGAGGACAAGGAGATGGGGAGGGGAAGGAGCAGGAGGATGTAGCAAGGGAGGATGGGGGAGGGGAGGAAGGGGAGGGGAGGATGGGGAGGGGAGGACAAGGAGGACGGGGCAGGGGAGGACGGGGGAGGGGAGGGCCAGGGCGCAGGCTCAGGACAAAGCCCAGAGGCCCCCAGCAGCCTTTCTGACGGCTGAGTCTGGGAGACGGAGCCCCGTGTCCCTCATGGGAGCGCAGGATGCTGGCTGTGTCTGGCCTGATTTCGGCTCCTGTCACAGCTCCAGGCACAGCCATGCTCAGTGAGTGCGGCCAGCCTGAGTGAGCAGAGACACTGTGAGCAAGGGATCCTCTCTCTTGGGCCACGGCAGCCTTCTGTGACCCCAGAGGTCCCGCTGACAGCCTCCTGGGCCCAGCCTGGGGGCTGGGCGCCTCGCACAAGCCAGGCTCCCTTGGGGAAGCCTTCACCCTGCTCACACCTCAGCTTCCTCATCTGTAAAATGGGCCAACTATGGGGCCTCCCGCTGGGTTCTCGTGAGGAACAAATGAGCACGCGCAGTACATGCTGGCTTTGTTCCTTTCACTCATTCGTCACTTGTGTGCTGAGCACCTACTTCGTGCAGGACCCTGGGGTAGACGGCCAGCAGGCTGGCCCGCTGAGCCCAGCGTGGTGCCTGGGAGACCCGCGGGCGCTCACTAGGTGGCACTCTGGTGGCTGCGGCTGTTCCTGAGGCCAGCGTGCTCTCCACTCGGCCTTCAGGGCAAGTGCGGAGGCCGGTGCCAGGCGGGGAGGGGGGAGGCATGCAACGAGCGGGCCGGGCAGCCTGGCTCTGCCTGCCCGAGTCAGGCGCCGGCCGTGGTCTGCTGGTGCGTGCTTCGGAGCAGACCCGCGGGCTCCTAGAGGACTCTGGGCGCACCGAGGGCTTGCTGGACCCCGGGGCACGCACTTGACGTTTGTTGCCTTGCTGCGCTGGCCCCATAACTCCTGTGCCCGGCACGCCGCAGGCGCCCAGCGAACCTTCGCTGCAGGAACGCACGCCGCGTTCAGGCCAGGCTGGGCCAGGCTGGGCAGACAGCGAGTTTCCGGGGCCCTCACCAGACTAGCGCCAGCTCGTAGGTGAGCCGGGAACAAGCATCCCTCTGGAGGGACACGGCGCGCTGCGCCGGGCTGGGCAAGCCCGAGGCACCTCTGAGCAGGCCGAGCAGAAATGAATGCAGCCTGCGCGGCCCCTGCTGGGGTCGGCCCTCAGCTGGGCGGGCAGCCCTGGGGGTCTGAGGAGGCCGCTCTCCTGGGGCCCCTCCCCGTCCGGTTTCGGCACAGCCACCTGGTGGGTGTGACCGAGCTCCAACAGGCCGTGATCGCCCAGAGACGGAGGCGGGGAGTGGAGACACCGGGAGGGGGGTCCAGGGCAGAGTGGCCAGCCACGCCCAGGGCCGGGCGGCGGACAGGACTCGAGGACGGGCCCAGTTCCTGCTGCAGGGCTGCTGAGGGGTGTCCGCCAGGCCCCCTCCAGCCACCTGCACCCCTCGCCAGAGGCCGGTTACTCTGAGACCAGAGCGTCTCCCCTGTGCAGGGAGGGAGGTTTGTCCAGGCCTCAGGGGCCACCCCTGGACTTTGCCCAGAGCCTAATCAGCTGCAGCTAAGTCTGATAAACCTGCTGCCGACAGGCTGCCTCACGCAGGCTTTTCTGGAATTGATTTTCTGACCATCCAGCCTTCACGGCCAAGTGCTGGATGAAGGGGGGGGGACGCCAACGTGTCTCTGGCATAGGGAGGCAGGAGATCTGCCCTGGGGGCTGAGGCTTGGGAGGCTGCCTCAAACCTTGGGGCCCAATCCCGCTGGGACCCTCAGCCATTGCTCAGGGTGTGGCGATAGCATGATGCCTAGAGCACTGGGGGGGGCATGTTGTCAGGGACTTGGGCCGCTCTTCCCTCAATCTGCCGCGTTACTTGCCGGAAACTCTCCCTTTATCTTTGGCAACTGTGAAATCAGGGAGTGGGTTCAGATCAGGACTGTCAGACAGGCGTCCTCTTAAATGTCGTTTTCGCCCTACTGTTAGAGGCTTAGTGATAAAGCTCTGAGGCTGCCTGTGGGCTTGGAGGGAACAAATGCTGGGATTGATTGGTGATGTCTACACGGGAGCTGGCAGGGTGGAAGGTAGCACACGTGCTTGAATTTGTCATTCCTGCAGCAGGTGACGTCTACACGTGTGTTCCGCACCAAGATGTGGCGACACTGTGTCCATTCCAGAATAAGACCAAGGAGGCTTCAGGGCATGGGGCTGAGGGCACGCTGGGTTGATTCACAGCGTTTGTGCTTTGTGATCCCACAGTGCAGTGGGGCTCCCATGCCCTTCCTAGTCCAGTAAAATCCTACTCTAGGAGCTGCAGGCGCCACCCTGAGAAGGAAGATGGGGGAGCCTTTTGCAAGAGAGGTTGAGGGGGCAGGATCGGGACTAGAAGAGGGGGTGGGGATTTGACTTCTGCTCCACCTCTTAGAGCTGAAAATCTCTCGGCCAAGAGATTTCACCTCTCTGAGCCTCAGTTTCCTCACCTATGAGAAGGGCTAATTATAGCGCCTACATAGGGTTGCATGTAGGGTCATGAGAGATGCCTTGGAGCTCTGAACAGTGTCTGGCACACAGTAGGCACGCAGTCATGTCACTGTTGCCATCGTAGCTGTCCCTCCCTCCCCCGTCTGCCCCTGGGGGCTGAGGGCCTTGCTGGTGCCTGTCCCGACACCCGCAGGGGCTGGCGTGGAGCCCCGCTTCCCGCCCTCCCGGAGCTCTCTCCCCACTGCTCTCGTCCTGGACTCCCCAGCCCAGGTCGCCGGTGCAGCCCGAACATTCCCGCGTCCGGGCCTCGCGTAGGCCGTTCCTTCCACCGGGAGGCACAGCTGGAAGGCCACCTCCTCCCTGAGGCCTTCCCTGCCCCGACCCCATCGGAAGGGGGTGACCCTCCTGGAACCTGCCTGCCTCCCTCCCCTTCTTGGCACAGCTGCCATTGCTACCCCAGCACACGATTGGCGCCGGCTTGTTTGTCTCTGGGGCTCCTGGGCTGCCCGGCGTGGCCCCACACTTTGGACAGGAGCCCCGCGCCAAGCCGGTCTCTGCGCAGTGATGCGGACAGCCGCGCTCTGGCCCCCGGGTGGGGAGGACGGGGGTGGGGGGTGGGGGTGGCAGAGTCTGAACGGCTGAGGGGCCACCCTGCCGCAGGGTTTGGAGGCTTCAGAAGGCACCGCTGGGCTGTGGGAGGAGAAGGCTGGGCGGACCTGTGGGGCCGAGAGGGGAGACCTGGGCCTTCTTGCGCTGGGCACGCAGGAGGGGGGCAGGCGGGTGGGTGGCTGGGGCAGGGGTGAGGAGGAGGAGCTGGGTGGATACTCACCGGTCTCCTTGGGGGCAGAGCCAGCTAGAGGGAAGACAGAATCTGGTTAGAGAGAAAGCGCTTTGGCGCCCCTGCGGCACGGGGGCTGGGGGCTGGGGAGTGGGAAGAAGGGACCCTAAAGTGGCACTATTGAAAGGAAATAAAGGCCCCTTGCCACTGTCACCCATTCATACACACGCACATAGCACACAGATACACATACATGTACGCACACATACAATGCATTCATGTACACACAAGACACGTGCATGCACAGACACACGCATGCAGAGACACATACACGAACACACATGCACATGCAGACACACACATGTGCACATACACATGTGCAGACATACGTATACGGCTTTCTCATGGTTAAAAAGAAGCTGGCCTCTGTCTGAGCCCACTGGAGTTTGAGCCCTCGCCCCTAGAGTGTGACTGTATGTGGCAGTGAACCTCCTTGGGCCTCGGTTTCCCTGACCGCACGTGGAGACCGGCACAGCCCACAGCCGCCCTGCGTGGGCTGTGGCGAGGAGCGGGCGGGTCGATCTGTGAGGGCCAAGCCCGGGCCGGCGGAGGCCCGCAGGGAAGGGGCGACTGTGCTGCGGTGGCGGTTCCGCCCGTGCTGGGGCACCCCCCGCCCCACGGCCTGCGGCGCCGACTGCCGTGCTGGGCCTTGGCCCTCGGCCGCTTCCTGGCTTCTCATCTGCTGGCTCCTAGTCGTTTCTGCTGCCCCAAGTCCGATCTCCACCGCACTGGCGGTGAGTCCCGGAGAACAGGGCCCAGTGGCAGCACAAATGCCAGGGCGGGCGCTCTGCTCTTCTGGGGGACCCCACACTCCCTCCCTTCTTGGGGTCACCTTCCAAAGCAGCCCTTGGTGCGGGCACGTGTGTCGCCCAGCCCCTCGGGACACTCTCGGTCCCCGCAGGCTCCGGCCTTCCTGGCAGCCTGGGGGCGTCCTCCTCAAGCTCCCTGTCTCCCCAGATGGCCGGGCCCCAACCCGGAAGGCAGGAGCACAGCTGGCTGTGTCTGTCTCCCGGGTCGCCTGGGGCGGAAGCCTGCGGACCCTGCCAGCAGCGAGCCCACTCACCCAGCCAGCGCGGCAGACGGATGGTTTTCATGCCGCCGCTCACGTAGTTTCGAGCGAAGATCCACGTGGCGACCAGGGCGAGGGTGAGGGCCAGGAGGCGAAGCACACCTGCGGGGCGGGGAGACGCTGCCAGGAGAGCACAGCGCTAGGCCACGCCGCAAGGCCACCCCCGCCACGAGACTATGCGAGTCCTTCCCAGAGGCCCATAGTGAGACCACACCACGGGACCCCGTGCTGCAGGGTCAGACACAGCCACGCCGGGACTCTACGGGGGACCGTGTGGTAAGTCCACGTGTGAACCCGCGCAATGGCACTGGTGAGATCATGCTGCCAGGTCACGTGTCAAATCTCCCCGTGGGTCCCCTGGGAGAGACAGTTGAAATACACCTCTCTGGGTTCCACTTAGCCCTCCAAGAGAAAATGGCTAGGAACGGGGCCTGGGAACCCGCACTTTCACACCCCGCTGAGCTGAGGCCTGCGGGCTGCGGGCTGCGGCGGAAGAGCAGGCTCTGGGAGGGAGCCCTGGCACGGGGTCAGGAAGGCTGCGGCCAGTGCTCAGGGCAGCCAGCGGTGCTGTGTGACCTCGAGCAGGAGCTCAGCCTCTGAGCTGGAGTCCCTCAGTCACGGAGCAGGCATGGTAACGCCCTTGCCACTGAGCTCGAGGCTTGTTGGGAAGGACGTTGTCATCAACAGTAGGCAGCCTCCAGGGTGGCTTGGAGGTGAGGTTGTCCCCTTACGGTTTCCACCAACTCCCCCTCAAGACCACCACAAGTAGCCGCGCGCTGGCCCTGCTGTGCAGCTTCAATCGAGGCGCAGCTCCCAGGCCTGCCTCACAGCCAGGCTGCTCCTGACCCCCGCGTCCCTGGGCCCCTGCCTCACAGCCAGGCTGCTCCTGACCCCCGCGTCCCTGGGCCCCTGCCTCACAGCCAGGCTGCTCCTGACCCCCATGTCCCTGGGCCCCTGCCTCACAGCCAGGCTGCTCCTGACCCCCGAGTCCCTGGGCCCCTGCCTCACAGCCAGGCTGCTCCTGACTCTTCCCGCGTCCCTGGGGAACAACCCCTCACAGGAGGAGCCACCAGGGCTCCTGGCCCGCTCGCTTGCCGTACAAGAGCCGAAGGCGGCTCACTGCCCTTCCCTGTTGCCTCCTGAGTCGGGCCCACCCGTTCTTCTCTGACCCTCTAGGCTTGGGCAGGCCTGGCCTTTCTCTCCAGCCTCCCTGGCGGCCTGGCCTTTGCTCCTGAGCCCTGACTTTAGCTCTGGGGCCTCGTACTAGTCTCTGACCACTTGGGGTGAGGAAGGAGGCACCCCGGGTCCTGAGAGGTGGGGTGCAGGTCGGTGGGCCCCCGTCTCCTGGGCCACAGCGTGGCTCTGGGCAGCCAGCACTCCTCCTGGACAGCGGCTCACAGTCACGCAGCTCATTCTGTGCAGGTCCCATGTGAGCAGCTTTTACATACATGATCTCAATTCATCCTCCCAGGAGCCCTGTATGCGGACACTATTACCTACCCCCATTTTACACACGAGGAAACTGAGGCTTGGAGAGGCAGTCACTTCCCCAAAGTCACTTCGCTAGTCAGTGACAGAAGTAGGATTTGAACCCAGAGAAGTAAGTTGACTCTAAAACATGTGCTCCTGACTCCTCACAGCTGTTTGGGAATAGAAATGAGGCATGTACACGTTCTGTTTGGTGCCTCAGTTTCCCAATCTGTACAAAGGGGTGCAGTATGAGGGTGTGGACCAGAAGGCCTTTGCCTTCCTCATTCCTGCCCTATGCTGAGGATTCTAGAATAGCCCTCCTTGAGGTAAACATTTTGTCCCTAATTTCTAACCAGGGCCAGGTGTTTCCAACATAAGGCTAATCCCTATGACCCCAGCCAAGTGGGGCCACCGTGCCAAAGTCTCTCCCGCCCTCTGGCCCTAGAGACAGGGAGTCACCTCCCCTCTCGCCCCGGCTCCAGCCGTTGGTTTCCCGGGAACTTTGGCCTGACCCTGCGAGAACAGATACAGCCAAACCACCTCTGAGCCCAGGACGGGCGCACCGCTGACAGAAAGGTGCCTCCCAAACCAACCGCAGGGCCCACCTGGAGAATCGTCAGGATCTGGGCCTACCTGACAGTCTCATCCTGTCCGGGTGATGAGTGGCTTGAGGTCAGCGTTAACCTACAGGGAGAAGAAAATCAAGTTGTAAACTGGCGTCAGGTCTGAAATGAACAAGGCTCAAGACCAGAGACGGGCACGCCTCGAGCAGAAGAGGTCGTGACCCTGTCACTTGGGTTCCCACTACCTACCATGTGAATCGGGCAATTTTCCTCCTTCCTCTCTGCCTCCACCTCTCCTTCACTCTCGCCCCTGGAATTTTATATTCAATTTACTATGCCTATTTTAAGTGCAGAGATTAGACAGGAGAGGAAGGTGCAGCCTGGTTAGCCACTGTCTTTTGGAGGGTTTTATTTATTCACTCATCCAATCATCTATTTATTAATCTGACTGTCTACTTGTTCATCCGTCCATCCTTCCAACCATCCATCCATCCACCCACCCACTCACTCATCCATCCATCCATCCATCCATCCATCCATCCATCCATCCACCCACCCACCTGTCTGTTCCTTCCTTCCTTCCTTTCTTCTTCCTTCCTCCCTCCCTTCCTTCCTCCCTTCCTCCCTTGATTCCTCCCTCCCTGCCTGCCTGCCAAGGGATGTCCACCTAGGCAGCCAACATCAGTGACACCATCAGAACCCGAAGCTTATGTGATCTTTGTTGAGGTACCAAAAGGAAGAGCAATCAGAACTCACATATTACAGGTGAGTTTGTACCAGGTACTGTCTACACAGTGTCTCCTTTAATCCTCACGACCCTCATTTTAGGGACGGGCAAGCAAGACCCAGCGTGGTTCAGCCCAGGTTTGTTCAGCGTGCGAGGGTGGGAGCAGTCTCGGGATGCACGTCTCCGGCTGCTGAACGCACCGACACTCCCCACAGGGCCAGCACTCTCCGGCCCAGAGGAGGCTTGAAACCGAGGTCTCCTTCCTCCTTGAGTCCCAGGCAGGGCCATCCTTCTCCCCACCCCTCCCCTGTGTCCCCACAGGTGCTGGGCAGTTACCAGTGATTCGGCTGCTTTGAAAACCCCCAGGAGGTCTGTGGAGACTTGGGGGGGGAGGGGAGGGCAGGGCTGGCGGTCCCGGGCCCCAGAGCCATGGCCAGCCAGGGGCAGCAGGTGGCCTTCTGCACTGCAGTGACCTTGCTTCCACCACTCTTCCTGCCCCTCTCCACCCCAGAATCTTCTTCATCCTAAGAATCCATCTCAACAGACATCGTCTCCAGAGCCCAACCACCGAGGGCTCAGGCCTCAGGCAGGAGACCTGGACTGACGCCCGCACTGCCCCCGACACCCTCTGACCCTGGGCAAGTCTCGCCACCTCTTGGGCCTCCCCACATGTACAGGGGGTGGCAGCGGCTCAGTCCTTGACATTCGAACGGCAGCAACTGCAGAGCCACATGTCCTTTCATGGGTTGCAGCAGCCCTCCTACCTGCGCCTGCTCCTTTAGGGCCTTCCGGGTTAGAAGACTGAGCTGTCCCTGGATCTACACACAGACATTGTGTGAAACTTTAACTTCCTGAAATTCAAATTACCCACTTCCCCCACTCCCAGATACAAAAGTGTATTATTATCACAACTGTGCTCAGGGCGTGACGGGGCTCCACCTGCCTGCTGTCCTTCCTGGCCGAGTCCCCGGCTACCCCCCCAGCACCCACTGGGCTCCCTGGGCTCCCAGTGTCCAACCTGCTCACCTCAGCGGCACACAGGTGCTCTGAAGCTGGAGCCCAGGACTGGGCTGCTGGGGTGGGGAGGAGGACAGACACCTGGGACAGATAGGCAAGATGGGGTAAGAATTTCCTCTGCAGCCACCCAAACCTGAAACAGTTTCCTTTCTCCTTCCGGCCGGAGATTGGCAACCTGTTGTTCAGGTTAGAAAGTTGCCTGGCAAAGGCACAGAGAGAAAGGCCCTGTTGCCATGGATGCTTACTTAGCTGGCCTAGGCACAGATAAGGTGGCCCCAGGGTAGCAGGAGCTCACGTGGGTAGGTGGGGGGAGGGCAGTGTGGTGGGGAGGGCATGAGTCGTGGGAGCTGCCCCACTCCTCCCTGACGGGAGACCCCATTACCCACCTCTCCGTCCCAGGTTCTCTCGCTCTGTCCTGCCCCTCCCCGTGGCCCCCTTCTGATTTCTGGCTGCAGGTCAGCCACGCACACAAGCCCCAAGCACACCTTTCTTTTCCATGCCATGCCCTGTCTCCTAAAGTCCTAGGATGTTGAGTATTTAGGAAGTGCTGGATGAATATTTGGAAACTGAAGGAACTGGATTATCGTATAGCCCTAAAAGGTCAGCATGATGAAATCACCAGATAAAGAAGGAAGCTGAAGTTCAGAGAGGGCAAGCAACTTGCCTAAAGCCACACAGCCAATTGTCGATTTCATTCCTGGACTGTCTCTGAGTATCTGTGGGAAGGCAGGCTGGGCCCCAGGCTTCGGGCAAGACGTGCTCTGGAGTGTCCTCAGGACTTTGCACTTGCTAGTCCTTCTGTCTGAACATTGTTCTCCTGCTTCTTGGCCTGGAACACTTCTACTCATGTTCTCTGACTCAGTGGAGAAATCCCTTCTTCTGGGAAGCCTTCCCTGACCCTCCAAGTCAAGGATAAACACCTACCTACCTGTGGTCCTGGATGGGGGCACATCCATCATGGCACCCTGCCCTGTCTCAGGGGCTGGCCAATCAGAGCCTCATGATCTCCTTGAGATTGGTTCAAGAGTGAGCATGTGACCCAATTCAGGCCAACCAGAGTCTTCCCTGGAATCGATACATGGAAACTGGGGAGAAGGAAGCTCTTCATTCCCTGGAGATGCTAAGCCAGACATCTGCAGGACGGGGCTGCTGGGCTCCCTCTCCCAGCTGCTGAAGCACAACACCCGTCACAGACACGTTCTGCCAGGAGACGCAGACCCAGGGGCTGACGGCTGGGGCAGTGCATGTGGTCTTGGTCTTGAAAGAATCAAGCAGTGAAAGCCTGCGATACTGGGAAAGAGGATGAACTTGGGGATATGGTAAACCAGGGTTCGCCACTTAATAGTTATGTGTTTGGGGCATAGCTGTCTGGTCCTTGACGTCCTTCTTTGTAAAATGAGGGTGATGCTGTCTACCTGTCTTGGCAGGGGTGTCAGGCAGCGAGGCCACCTGTCTGGAAGGGTCTACCAGCCCGCCAGCGTGGCCCGTCTCTTCCCTGCCGAGGGCCCCTGCACCCTGCTGCTTCCTGCTGGTGCCCCTGCCTGGCAGGGGTCCTGTGATGAAGTGTGGCCTTGCTGTGGAGCCAACATGCCGTCACAGCGTCTGTCTGCCTGCTGCTGTGCAACATTTCTCAATGTCTCTGCAGGAGCTGGGACATCAGCTTCTTCCTGTGTCCTGGAGCTCCCTGTGCGTAGGTGCTTTTCATCTCAACCGAGACCTACCCCAGGCCAAGACGGACAGACAAAGGGATACTCTCTCTCCAGGGATGGTTGAGCACCTGGTGGTGAAATAAGCAGCTATTTCCCTGCTTAAATCCTGGCCCTGGCCCTTCCCTGGGAATTCCAAGCGTCCCTCCACAAAGGCATCTTGCCGTGCCCCCCATGGTCAGCCCTGATTTGGGGGCCAGCTTCTCCTCCCGGCAGCTGCCCCCCAGGGCCTTCTTTTTCGGTGGCCTGGTGCTAGCACCAGGCATGGAGTAGGTGTGCAGGAAGTGGTATTTGAAGGAAGCAAGTGGCTTTCAGTTTGGGAAAGGACATTGGCAGGAAAGAATCTAGGAGCTGCTTCCTCTATCTAAATGGCTTTTCCCTTTGCCCATCCTTGTTCTCCAAAGTGGAACTGCCTAGAAGATGTGCTCAGGCTTTAGAATCTTCTGGAAACTCAAGCTCTGGCCATTGCCCTCAACATCCCTGGAAGTTATACAGACCAAGCACGGTCACAAAAGGCCAGGGTGCTATCTGTCCTTCCTCCTTTCTCTTCCACTCATCTCTGCCCGAAACCCGTGTGCGCAGGGATTCACAGCCCGGGGTGCATTCCACGAGCACGTGTGTGGGAGATGGAAACTCCACTGCGGCGGTGACAGGTCTGAGGGAGACAGACTCAGACAGACCGAAGTAGACAGATGTGGACAGAATGAACCAGAAACAGACAGTCAGAGACTGGAAATGACCAAAATACTGACAGACGCACAGGCACACACATGCACGCGTGGGCACACACACACACAGGCACAGATGAGTTGGGGTACTGCCAAGGGCTCCCCGGAACTGGGCCACGTGCTCCCTGCTCGACCCAGTTGCCCCTGCCTTCAGTTTCCAATCAGCCTCCAGAGCCGTCTCCACGTTCTGGCCCAGGATTATGGGAAGTAATCAAAGTAACCAGAGCCCACCTTTCATTCTCTAAATGGTCTCTCTGGAAACCCCCAGTATTTATGGGCAATTATTGATCATGTCACCAATACAGAGGGAGATAAACAGCAAATAAATCCATAAACAATAAGGCTGGAGGCTTGGACAATTTGTTCCAGTGACATTTACTTTGGAAGGAAATAAGCCCCTTATTTCCACTATTATAATTTTATTTACTGGTTTTAGTGGTTTCTGCAGCTCTGGCCGACGGTAGAATTATCGGGCTGGTCAGACCTGTGCAGCAGGAAATGCGAGAAGATACGAAAAAGGGCACCATTCCCAGGGTTTTCACCCCCAAGTTCCTGGAGCACCTCCCAGAATAAGACAACAAACACCACTTTCCTGACACTGCTCTGAGACTCTTCCTTCTTTTAACTAATTTAATCTCACAACAGCTCCAGGAGGAAGTAGGGGAAACCGAGACACAGAGGGGTGAGGTGACATGCTGGTAAGAGTCAGAGATAGAAAGGATCCCAGAAATGAACCCAGGCAATGTGGGCCAGGGGCCCACCTTCTTAACTACTTTGCCCTGCTCCTCTTGAGCACTACTGATAATTGAATGAATGTGGCTGTGTTTCAATAAAACTTTATCAACAAAAACACGTGGTGGGCTGCATTTGGCCTGCAGGCTACAGTTTGCCAGCCTCTTTCAGCCCCTGGTGCTCCCCGTGCTGAGCCTCAGCCTGCTTGCATTTGGCTCAGCCAAGGCGAGGCAGAAGGGAGGCTTCCGTGGGCCAAGAGAGTTTCTAAGATTCTGTCCCCTCACCAGCCAGTGCCCTCCTCAGGGGAGGATCCAGGAGCCCCCTGCTCGCTCGGCCGGGGTACGCTGCCTGTGTCCTGTCCTTGCAGGGGTGTTTGGGGGGATTTCCTCCCAGTTCTCCTGGCCAAGGCCCTCACCTGAAGGTGCCTCGCCCAAGAGACCTGGAGAATGACAACTCTAGTTGCAGTGACACCCTTGGACTCTGCAGGGGTCTCCTATGGCCTTGAGTGGGGCGTCGGAATGACCCCGTGCATAAGAGTGGGCGCTTTGGTGCCGCTCTGGGATCTGCCACGGAATTGTGGGCCCTGGCCTCTCTCAGCCTTGGTTTCCTCACACACGGCCATCATGATCTCTAATTTAGTGACAATGAAATGCAAGAACGCACCCAAAGCACAGCACCTGGGTGGCGGAAGCGCTCTGCAGGCGATTGTTGTTCCTCACCCTCTGCCCGCACCACGGAGGCAGAAATCTCTCTAGGCTGAGAGAACGGGGTGTGCCCCAGGGGTGGGTTCCTCCAGGTCCCAACAGAGAAGCTGGGGCAGGGGGGGCCATCTGGCGACACACACAGCTTTTCTCTTCCCCCAGTGTCTGCGGCCACGGGGCCATCTCGGTGCTGGACATCTTCAGGCCCGTCAGCCCCAGAGGCCAGGTGGTGCCACCAGAACCTGTCTGTGCTGCGTGAAGCGTGGCTCTGGGTCACCAGAGGACTAGCTGGATCGGGGCGGGGCTGCCCAGAGCACCTGGGTTCACCCTCCGGCCACGCAGGCCTGCCGCTGGCCTGTCGAATCACTTCAGCAGGTCAAGTGTGAAGAAATTCGCCTCGGAGCCAGTGGGCAATTCCGTTCCTTTCCGTCGGAAGTCTTGGCCTCTTTGATTAACCAGGACGGAGGTGACAGCCTCTACCGTGAGGCCAGTGGAGCCTTGGGGAGGTAAGAGGAGAGAAGTCGTACCTAGGAAGCCGTGGGGTCCAGAGACCTCACTGAACAGGAGATAATCTTTACGACAACCACAGTAGTGACTCTAATAGGTGTTATTAGCGTTCTGGCAATACTGAGCCCTGTGTCTTTTCATTGAGTGTTTCCACTACATCTTGTCTGCACGTTCTTTTTATGAACTGCGTCTTACCAGAAAGGAAACTGAGTTTTAGAGCAAGTGCGACTTGCCCAGGCTCAGGCAGGCGGAATGACTTGTGTGATAGTGCCGTCTGTCACTTCAGTAACTCCAGTTACACAAAGCCTCGGCGGTTGGACTCAGGGTGTCCCTTCTTCTTCCGGCAACCACCCTGGTTTTCCTCTGGGAACCAACCCAGCCCGCATGCAGCTGGGTCGACCTGCTCCTCTGGCTCCAGGGGTGGCCGTGTGGTCCGGGCCGAGCCCACGCGTGTGCTCCATCCTCCCAGCACAGAGAGGGGACAGGCCAGACTTGCAGCAGCCTTGCCGGGAGGGTGGGAGGGGCTGCCTTCCGCTGGGTGGAGAAGACGCAGAACTGCGGACGTTGATGGCTATCTGCCACCCAGTGAGGACAGCCCGGGTGAGAATGAAGCCGCGTGGAGGAGAGGCCCCGGAGACAGACAGAGTTCTGGGGCTGTCATTTGAGCCCCTAGACAGGTCCACCTTGCTTGAAGTCAGAATTATCTCTGGATGTCACGTGTGCCAAGACACATGCTGTGTTTTTGGGCGTTGCTTCTGTCACTTGAACCCCAAAGCATCCTCCTGGTTAGGGGGGGCTTTCCCCCCTGTAAGCCTCAGCAACAGACAGACTCAGATTAACCCCCACACTACCCCTTCCCTCCTCAGGGCTGAATCCCTCAATCCGAGCCGGGCCTAAAAAGTGTGGCCAAATCCGGGCTTGTTCTCTGTCTCTAGCAACAGCCTCCTTCCCGGTGGCTTCCCTGCCAGAAGCCACCTTGCTCCTGACATTTTCACCGGAAGAACATCCCTCTGATGCAGAACCTGGCGCGCCCGCAGAAAGGTCCAAACCTCGGCCGAGTGCCAGGTCCCCTGCAAGTGACTCGGCTCCCACGTCCACGGCCTGCTCCTGTGGCCCCCTCCCACGGGCCTGCCCCTGTGGTCCCCTCGGCCCGCTGCTCCTGCAGCCCCCTCCGATGGCTGCCCTCGCCTCCTCCCCGGGAGGCCCCCTCCACCTGGTGCCCGCTGTGGCCTGTGTGGCCGCCTCGCTCCCTGCAGTGCGTCTGCGTGGCGTGGGCAGCGGGTGCAGCTCAACAGCAGGGCAGGGGCCAGGCAGCCTGGCTGCAAAGCTGCTCTCTGCCATGCACAGCCTGGCCACCCTGGCTGGCTGCCTCACGTCCTCAGGCCTCAGTAGTCCATCTGTCAATGCGCCAGGTGAATCCAGGCGCAGGCTCCACACCACCCTAGTTGCCGTCCACCGCCATCGGTGTTGCCTGGTTCCGAGACTGCCACCACAGAGAGCGTGGTCACGTCTCTCTCACAGCCCCTGACTCCCTTTGCTCTCAGTCGTCAGCGTGACTGTTTTGTCCGGCAGGCCGTGAGCTTCCTGAGAGCGTCTCATCGTTTCTAAACGCCTGACACCATGCACTGTGCCCAGCGCACAGTAGGTGCTCGGCTTTGACAGCTGCACCAGCCCGGATCCATGACAGGCGCTTTGCACATTGTCTTTTTCAGAATTTACACCAGTCAACCCCCTGCCAAGGAATTCATTAGTGCCGCCATCCTCTTGACTAAGGGAGGATCAGACCAGCCTGCGAGAGAGGCAGCTTGCCCAGGTAACACCCGGGGAAAGGCAGCCCCGGGACTCAAATGCCAAGGGGGGTGCTCTCCTCACACGATTACATCTCTGTGGCCCCAGGCCGAGCCGGCAGAGGAGCAAAGCCTGGGTCCCCACCCCTGCTCGCCTGGGTCCCCACCCCTGCTCACCTGGGTTCCCACCCCTGCTCGCCTGGGCCTCCGAAAGCCAGAGACCGACACTGACCAGAGGAAGGGCCTCCCCTCGGCAAGGGGCCTGCCCTGTGGGACCCCAGGCTGGGCGGGGCCTGCCAGCCCCCAAGGCATGCTGTCCCCTGTCTGCCTGAAGTCACGCCAGGCCTGCCAATGCTGGATGGCTGTCTTATCCGAGGAGCAGTGACCCCAGCCCAAGAAAATGTTGGCAAACCAGGACTTGGAATGCCCGTCACCCCAGGGAGGTGCCAGTGAGGAGGGTAGGCCCCTCAGCCTGGGGGCTCCTGAATGCCTGTTGTCACGGGGCTGCTGGGTGAGCAACTGGAGCTACGGGGCCTGCGTGTCAGCACACAGCTGAGCTCAAAGAGCCGCGTAAATGAGACCATAGACAGAAACCTCTGGACTTCCAGATGCACGGCAGCAGACAGACAGATGGACAGACTGTCTGGGGCAACCGCCGGGCAGAGCTGAGCTCCTCCCCAGGCTGCACCCGGGCCTGGGCATGAGCACCTGGCTGACCCATGCCCACCACCAGCTCCTTTCCTCTCCGGCCTGAGCCGCCCCGCCTTCCCCTCCCTCCTGCCCTCCTCCTACTCTCCCTTCTCTGAGATCGCCACCAGCCCAGCACGTCCCTCCCCTGGGCTTCCTTCGCAAATTTAATCTCCTTGGAGCAGCCTGTCCTGACTTCCAGGCTAGCTTTATGACATCAGCCAAAACTGTTTTGAAAATGACTATCTGTGTAAGTTTTCTACTTTCTGGCTAGAACCATGTATGGTGGTTACCCTGTCTTGTTAATCATTGTATCTTGTTTACCTGACAAGCAGGAACTGCTCAGTTAACAGTCACCGGATGAATCATCTAGAAGGACACCCCTGTACCCAGATTGCCTGCTTCTAGCCGGGGACTTAGAATCAGCTGCATCACAGAGTAGCGTGGCACCGTGGTCAGACACACGAATGCAGCCAGACTGCCTGGGCCTCTTACTAAATCTCAGTGCCTTGGTTCCCATCTGCACAGTGGGAATAATAAAGGTGCCTTCCTCACAGGGGTGATAAGGAGAGTAAATGTTATTATATAGAGAGCACTTAGCACACAGTACGTGCTATTTTACGTGTTTCAGTGATTGATATCATAGATGCATAGGCAGTGAAGACTACAGGGACTGACAGGAGATATTCGGACTGTCACATCCATTTACAGGTGAGAAAACTTGAGTCTCATCTTGAGTGAAAGGGAGGGACTAACCAGACATTACACAGCTAAAAAAAAAAGTCTCATGCGTCTTTGTCACAACTTTACCAGATCATTATTTCCAGAGAGAAATGAGACTTGGGGCCAAATAACAACATTCCTGTCTTTATTCATTCTTCAAACATTTGCGTGACTCATAGTTGATGCTCAGAATGTGTTTTTTTTTTTTTTGAATGAATGAAATGAATACATGTCAAGGAGCCCCTGTGGTTAAAAAGCATGTAGTGTGGGTTACCAAATTCCTGACTTTTCCCTGTGCCCATGCCAGGCATAACTAATCACTCACTGCATGCTTTTGCTAGGAGCCTGCACTCAGCCTCAGAATCCTTTTTATCACAGCCCATTATCAATCGATATCATCAGGCTCGGCCCCTCAGATGAAAGCTACATGCCTTACTCAGTCTGATCTCAGAAATCTCTTTGATGATGTGGTTTCCTTTCATCCTTCTCTCTCGGGCTCTTTCACGTCTCATTTCCCTCTCTTCCCACCTCCACCCCTTCTCTCTGGGGCTCTTTCATCCTATTTCCCTCTCTTCCCACCTCCACCCCTTCTCTCTGGGGCTCTTTCACGTCCTATTTCCCACTCTTCCCACCTCCACCCCTTCTCTCAATAAGGTGGACCCCGGGGAACAGCCCTCTCCATGCCCGGTGGAGACGTACCTGAGGGTTCCAGGCTCCCACTTCCTGCTTCAGTGGAGAAGGTGAGATGGCCCAGCAGGTGTCTCGGTCCCTGCCCCGGCTGCTGCGGAAAGTCCCGCCTTCTGGTTCTTGGAGGGAGGGGGCTCCCAGGCAGATACGGAGTATCTGGAGAAGAGAAGGAAGGCTCGAGGGCCGGCTGCTCCCAGCTCGGCCCCGGCTCTGCCCTCCTTCGAGGAAGTTTACCGTGGACGCTCCCTGTCCTGTTAAACAGTCTCTCCGGGAAGGAGGAAGTTGGTCTCAAGTCTTGCCTGGCTGAGGAGTGGCTTAGAGCCAGGCTGGCGCACAGGGAGGTGGGCTGTGCCTGTTCTCTTTGCCCCAGAGCATTCCTGGCCTCTGCAGTGGGGGGCTTTGGGCAGGAGTCTAGGCAACTTCATCAGGAATGAGACACCACAGTCTGCCTTAAAAATCAACCCCAAAACTCCCTGAAAAAGAAATGTGACCCCACACTGACAACCCCCCCAGACGCTGGGGACAGGGTGGGGCCGGTAGAGGCCTTGGTGAGGTGCAGGTCACCTGCCCTAGGACTCCAGACTGGGGTGGGGGCCTGGAGCTTGCGGGGTGGGGGTGGGGCCCGGGCAAGAACCAAAGGCAGACTTTGCCGGCAAAGGCGACTGTTAGAGGTTGAGCCTGGATGACAGTAAAGGGGACCCCTTGATCAGCAGCGAGGAATAAGGAGAGGAAATGGTTTGGGGGAAGATTCTGGATTTGGGTTGGGGCACACTGGATCAGAGGCTAAAGCTGGAGGGAGGGCGGAGGGAGGAAGGGAGGAGACCGGTGGAGGCAGACTTTCAGTGTTTGTCGCCCCTCTCTCTCCCCAGGACACAGGTGCACTGGGAGGGGCTCTGTGCCCTGTCCCCCATCCAGTGCCCCCGGCTTTGTCACAGATTCTTGGTCCTCAGCACAGGCTCCTGGGGGCTCCGCCCTCATTTGCTGACCCTGACTGCTTCCAGAAAGACATGTGGCCCCTAGGAGTGAATCTCCAGGGACATGGGTCCAATAGCTGGTCCGGAAATGAAGAGCAGGGAGCGGTCCCCGCAGGAGAGGTGCCTGGGGTGGCCCCAGTCCTGCCGTTCCGGCTGCCTGTCCCCAGGCAGGCATGGGGACCCCTGCAGGTGTGACTGGGGCAGACAGCAGTTTCCTGGGTCCTGACTGGTTTCCGGACGGGCCTTGTCCTCTGCCCCTGGCCTCGTGCCCTGCCCTCCTCTGCCCGGATGGGCCCTTGCCCCTCGCCTCGCACCCTGCCCTCCTCTGCCCGGACGGGCCCTGTCCTCTGCCCCTGGCCTCTCGCCCTGCCCTCCTCTGCCCGGACGAGCCCGTCCTCGTTTCAGAACTGACCTCCGAGGTCACCTCCTCAGGGCCCCAGAGCCCCTGCTGCCCAGTGCAGACAAGCAAACAAGGGCGAGGTGACGTGGTTTCCCTGCACCCTTCTGTGCTCCTTGGCTGAGCCAGGAATTAAAGTGATGGCAGGCAGAGGAAGAGGAGAAAAGGTGCACGTGTACTGTGTGCATCCGGGCATCACAGGAAAGCAAACCCAGCGAGATCTAGAAGCTTCTATGCCTTCTTGACAGGGGAGAGGAGGAGGGATGCAGGCAACTTAGGGGACAAAAGGATTTCCGGGAAAGACGAGAGGGCCCTCGAGGAGACGGGCTGTCCAGGTGGCCCTCCAGCCCCCTGCATGCCAGCCAACTGCCCGGCTGGTAAGATTCCAGATAAGAGGGCTCAGAACGCCTCTCCCTGCGTCTGCTGTGCCCCGACCGGCCTCAGTGCAAAGTCCGAAGCGGCATATTTTGGGGCATTGTCTCCCGAACGATTTTACCAGCAAACGATTTAAAATCGGTAACTTCTGGAGAGCCGTGGCCCCGTCCCTGGGTTCCTGTTGGGGACTGGGCCCCCGGCCCGCCTGTGGGAAAACTGTCTTCCATGAAACTGGTTTCTGGTGCCAAAGAGGTTGGGGACCGCTGCTGTGGAGGCCGTGAGAGTGACAGGAGAACCTTCTCCACCAGGAGGTCAGGGCGGCCTCCCTGCGGGGAAGCTGAGGCTCTAGGCTCGGTTTCTAGGGCGGCTGAAACACATGAACCCAAACCAGGTGGCTTAAAGCGACACGGCTGTTTATCCCACAGATCTGGAGGTCAGAAGACTAACCTGTGTTCGCTAAAGCCAGGCTGTATCCCTTTCTGGGGACTCCAGGGCAGAGTCCGTTCCTGGCCTGGAAACCGGCTTCTAAAAGCCACCTGTGCTCCTTGCCTTGTGGCCCCTTCTCTTGGCTTCAAAGCCAGCAACAGTGCGTCTCCGGGACCATTCTCCCTCCGCGTATCTCCTCTCACGCTCTTCTGCTTCCCTCTTCCGCCTTTTTTTTTTTTTTTTTTTTTTTGAGACAGAGTCTCGCTTTGTTGCCCAGGCTAGAGTGAGTGCCGTGGCGTCAGCCTCACTCACAGCAACCTCAAGCTCCTGGGCTCAAGCGATCCTCCTGCCTCAGCCTCCCGAGTAGCTGGGACGACAGGCATGCGCCACCATGCCCGGCTAATTTTTTTTTTAATATGTATTTTTAATTGGCCTCACAACCTATGAGAAACTCACTGTTTCTAAGATGAGAAAACTGAGGCACGGAGAGGTTTGGGAACAGACAAGAAGACACAGAGGCAGGGAAGGACGGCTGGGACTTCCCTGGGCTCTGTCTGATGGGAGATGGCACCACAGCTCTCATAGGTGCCTGCCTCATCCTGGAGTCACTCACAGAACATGACCCAGGGACGGCCACGCCGCCGGAGCTCAGTCACCTTCTGTGTGGAGCATGGGTGAGGCCGCCCTGGACAGGCACTCTGGTGCCACCAGCCGTGTAAATCCTCAGCTCTCCTTCTCCCGGTAAGTGCCTGCGTCTGACCTTTGCCCGGAGAGAAGTGTCTGCCGCGTCATTTATGGCCCTCGCCTTCCCGAGGCCGCCTGCTCCCCTGTCCCGCTGTCACCTTCTGAGCGGATCCCACCCGCAGCCCGGCGCAGTCGCGCTGTGTGCCAGCCGCTCTCGCTCTCAGGTGCCCGCGACCTCCCAGCTGTCTGGGTGGCTGCCCCACGACTGCACGACGGCGGAGAGGGCGCTCAGTTCCTGAAAACACCGAGGACGCCCCCGCCCCACCCCGCCTGCGCCACTCGCTGCCGCCGAATGTGACTGGCGCGGGGTGGGGACGGCGGGTTGTCTTCTCTGTGCTCCCCTGACGCGCCCGCGCGCGCGTGGGGAGCGGGCCTTGGCCACGGCAGGAAGGCGCGCACAGCGGGGGAGCGCGGCGCCCAGCCCTGCAGGTGGCGTGGGCTCGGCGCAGGCGCGGTTTGGGGGACCCGCAGAGAGGATGGACCTTCAAAAACATCTGTGCCTCTGAGGGGGGCAAGGCGGCGAAGGACCCAAACGCTGCGGTCTCGGGGCTGCAGGTCACGCGGGGAGCCGGGCCTGTGCCTCGGTGGCCAAAGCCGCAGGCCCAGGGGGAGGCTCCCTCGGAGCCCCCTTCTCGCCGCCATTCCCTCCTTTCCCCACTGGCTTCCCGGTCCTCCGCAGCCGTGCCTTTGGGAATTTTCTGTGGGGGAGAGGGAGCTGCAGCGGGCCGCGGGACACCTGGGGGTCTGGCATCGGCTGCGGCCTCCCGCCCCCGACCAAGCCTCGGGGGCCCTTCGCAACTTGGGGTCCCCCGGGCCCCTTCCCGAGCGCTCCAGATTCCCAGAGGCGCGGAGCCGCATAGCCGCGCGGTGCGGAGAGAACGCCAACATCCCGTTTACCCACCTGCCGTCGATCACCCACAGACCACAGACGTCGTCCCTCAAACGGCAGGGAGACGAGCGCGCCCGCCCCCTCTCGCGAGAGCGGCTTCGCTGCTGATTCGCGCCCGCCCCCGCCCGCCCCCCACGGGGCTCCCGCTGTTCTCACGCGCAGCCGGGAAGGTGGGAAGGGTGGCTGGAGAGGACAGGGACGAGGACTTAGCTGGAAGGCCGAGTGGAAAGCCCGTCCCTCTTCCCTCTCCCACGTGAGGGTGGGGGACGGAGAGCGGGGAAGGCCGTGGGGTGGGTGGCGGGAGTCGGGAGGTGTCGTCCAGGGAGGCCGCGCGGGGCCTGCGAACGCCGAGAAGAGCAGAGTCCTCGCGGGGTCTGAACTGGCTCCCTTTTCATGTTTCCTGAGGAACATAAGGAAAATTGGAATTAAAAAAGTGTTTCTCCTAGAGGCTGGACCATACTGCTTTTTTTCTGAGACAGAGTCTCACTCTCTTGCCCAGGCTAGAGGGCCCTGGCGTCAGCCTCGCTCACAGCAACTCAAACTCCTGGGCTCAGGCGATCCTCCTGCCTCAGCCTCCCGGGCAGCTGGGACTACAGGCATGCCCGGCTAATTTTTAGTTGTTTGGCTAATTTCTATTTATAGAGACAGGGTCTCACTCTTGCTCAGGCTGGTCTCGAACTCCTGAACTCGAGCAGTGCTCCCGCCCGGGCCTCCCACAGTGCTAGGATGACAGGCGTGAGCCGCCGCGCGGCCTGGACCGTACTGTTCGAGCATGACTCTGCAGAGACCGAGCCGGGAGGCTTTGGAACGTACGAGGGTTATAAAGCATTCACTGCTTCGGCCGTGCGGGCCTCCGCGCCGGGTACCGGGCAAACGCGGAAGAGAGAGGAGTCACGCCCTGGAGGGACTCACGGAGTCCCGCGACTCTACGAGGCCGCGGCTCTGCGAGTGCAGCACGCGAGTCCGCTCTGCTGGCATTCCCAGCCCCGCAGGCGGGCTGGGCAGCGGCTGCCAAGGACCGTCGTCGGCTTTCACAGCTGAGGTCTGGAGGAGGTGGAGGACTTGCCCCGCCTCCCGCTGCCGTGCCTGGCTCCCTCCACGCGGGGCCGCCTGTGCCCCTGCGGCCGGCGCCCGCCCGGGCGCGCGTCTGCGAGCAGGGCGCGACTCCGTGCGCGTGCGCGGCGCAGACTCAGCCCCGCCGGCCCCTGGACCGCGGCCCGCGCTGGGATCTCACCCTTGACCCCACGCGGAAGTGGGCCTCCCCGCTTCCTGCCCGCTCCTCCCCGTCCCCGTCCACACCCTTGGAGCGTAAACACCGCAAACAGGTGTCTGCGAGGACGCCGTCCATTCGGGTTCCGGGGAGCCATCACCGGCAGCTGCATTCCTGTGGCGACTTCCTCCACCGAGCCGTGCTTTAGGGCTGGGCGTGCTTTCTCCACGCACGGCCGCCTCTGCGAGGGTGCGGGGTCCGCCCGTGTAGACGCCGACACGCACCCCTGTTCGTGGAGCCGAGGCAGACCTACGCAGGAGGGGCCCGGAGATGTTTGGACAGGGGAGGGTTTTACCGTGACCTTTCTAAAAGGCTGGGCTCTTCCCGAAAGATGGGCGGCTTCACAGACCTGCTTTGTTCAGGCCGAAAGCAGTAGTGGAAGCCTCCAAGCCGCGCTGCAGCCCGCTGGGGACGGTGCCCCGCCGTCTCAGGGACCCCACACTGCGTCCAGGTGCCGGTGCAAACTCATTTCCCTGTACATTTTGGGGTCTGACCTGGGGGGGTTGTAAAAAGCAGGCACCCGAAGTCTGACACTCAAACTGCTACTTCCTTACGAGGACACTGGCAGGTGGGGGTGCAGAGGGGGGTGTTCTTGTGTCGCCTCCTCCTCTCACCGTGGCAGCTTCATTAATGGACCATTTGGAAACAGCCTTGATGCATTAGCTTTCTGTTGCTGTGCACCCAGACTGCCCCGAAACTTAGCAGCTTAAAAAGACAAACATTTTCTATCTGTCACGGTTCCTGTGGGTCAGGAATTTAGGAGCAGCTTAGCTGTGTGATCCTGGCTCAGAGCCACGGGGTCTCAAATGAGGTAGTCACAACGCGGGCGGGGCCTCCAGTCACTTGAAGGTTTGAGTGGGGCTGCAGGAGTCTGTTCCAAGGTAGCTTTCTCACATGCCTGGCCCGTCTGACTGGTTGTTGGCTGGAAGCCTCAGATCTTCATCTTGGGGTCTCTCTGGAGGGCTGCAGGGGTGTCCTCACAACCCGGCAGCTGGGTTATGCAGGGAGCGACCCAAGAGAGAGCACCGTGGAATCCAGTGTCTCCTGTGACTTACGACTCAGGCTTGGAAGTCTTACTCCATCATGTTTTTTCTAGATAGAGTCTCACTCTGTTGCCCGGGCTAGAGTGCTGTGGCATCAGCCTTGCTTACAACAACCTCCAATTCCTGGGCTTAAGCAGTCCTCCTGCCTCAGCCTCCGGAATAACTAGGACTACAGGCATGTGCCATCATGCCCGGCTAATTTTTTCAATATATATTTTTAGTTGTCCAGATAATTTCTTTCTGTTTTTAGTAGAGACGGGGTCTTGCTCTTGCTCAGGCTGGTTTCGAACTCCTGACCTCGAGCAATCCTCCCGCCTTGGCCTCCCGGGGAGCTAGGATGACAGGCGTGAGCCACTGCGCCTGACCAAATGCTCCATCATTTCTGCAATGTTCTAATAATGGTGGCCCAGGTCGGCCCTATTCTGTATATGGGGGACCACACACAGGTACAGACACCGGAGGTGAAGATAACTGGGGGCCATGTTGGAGGCTGGCTGTGTGCTTGGTTTACGTTTTAGCAATAGTGGTGGCCCCACGACCCTGAACAGGCCTGGTCTCGGGAGCGGAGCAGGGCCAGGCCTGTCCTCTCCACCTGTCCACGATGTCACCAAGGAGTATGAGACTCTGTGTGATTATGTTCGCACAGAGACCTTCTTGCAGCTGGGAGCTGTGAGGGACGAAGGCCTCTCTCGGCCCCATGTGATGCACAGAAGAGGTGAAAACATGTCTGTTATCTTCTGCTTCTCAGGGTAGGCATGCTGGAGTTCCTGGCAATGAGCGCCAGGTGTTTACAGGGCTTGCAGGAGAACAGTTTACAAATAGCCAGATCCCACCGAGCACGCGCTAGCACTGGGCATCGACATGGGCCGTCGACGTGCCCATGTCAACGTGCCTAGGTGAGGCAGCGCTGCTGTTAAACGCTTCTTTTTACAAAAAGGAAACTGAGGCCCAGCTACAAAGTGAGGGGCCAGGAATTGAACACGGCGGTCTGATCTGAGCGCCCAGGCTCTGGTATCTCCCCACTCCTTTTCCCTGTGCCATGCTTCGCTATCTGCCTTTCTTATGAAACCAGAACAGAGAAGAAGAGGAAACTGACACTCTGGCTAAAACAGTGCTTCTCAGAGGATGTCTGTTGGACACTATTCAGAAGGATTCAGAGTTCCACAAGAACTAACGCTCTGTGCGCAAGCACGCGGAGGAGGTCCGGGCTCGCCAGGTCTCCGTGCTGACAGCCTTCCTCATGGGCCAGGAGTGTGTGCGCAGCTCCACCATGGCGCTGAAGAACCTGGCGATTCCCTAACTTTTCTGTCCATAGAATCTTTTTTTTTTTTTTTTCTTTTCTGAGTGTCCCAAGAGACTAGGGACCCACGTGCTTGAGCAACATGGAGCTGAAACATTCACGGGAGAGGAGAACAGCACGGAGCCGCGGACCCATTTCCACCTGGAGCCAGGGCTGGCTTCGGCTCGGGCTCAGCCTCGCGGGAGGCGCCGCACCGCGGCCGGCCGCTCCCCGGGGCGCGAAGGGTCTGGTTTCTGCCCTTTTGATCCTCCCCGTTGAACAGAGACTTTGGAGGGAGTTCTTCCATTCCTCCCCCATTCTCAGGGGTGGAGACCCCATTCCCCATCTGACGGGGGAAGTGGGGGGCAGAGAATGACCCCCAGTCCACCTGGGGGTGAGCAGGAGGAAGCAGGGTGGGATGCGGGTCCAGGAGGGGCATTTTCTGAAGCTTCAGGGCTGCCCAGGTGGTGGGCCCCACGTTTCTAAGACACTTACTCAGAAGGAGTGAAATCTGGGGACAACCTGAGCAGATGGAAGAAGTCACCCCAAACCTTACCTTTCTGTGGACTTTTTATGGGTTATCACACATCTCCAATGCATTAGTTACCTATTATTGCATAATAAATTATCCCCAAACTTAGCAGTTTAAAGCAGCAATGCGTTTTACTACCTCAGTTTCTGTTGGTCAGGAATTTGGGGGTGGCTTAGCTGCGGCTCCCGAGGCTGCAGTCTTCCGAGGGTTGGTTTGGGGCTGAAGTATGCGGTTCAAAGATGGCTCACTCGTGCGGACAGCCCGTTCGTGTTAGCTGTTGGCTAAAACCTCCGTTCCTCGCCGCGTGGACCTCGCATGAAGCTGTTGAGTGCTCTCGCGACACGGCGGTGGGCTTCGTCCCCAGCGAGTGACCCAAGAGAGAAGGCAAGGTGGAGGCTGCACTGCCATTACGATGCAGTCTCAGAAGGCACGCTGCGTCATTTCTGCAGCGTCCTATTGCTTACACAGGTCAGCGTATTCATGGCTACATAAAGCCATGGATTTTAGGGTATCACTGGGGGCCATCGCGAAGGCCAGCTGCTACATGTGACCTATGAAAGAAAGAGATTATTGAGTGAACATCCTTAAATGGGTGGCACACATTCTCGAATGGCTAGAAGCATGACCATTTTCTGGAGACTATGCTACTCTTTCTTTCCACAAGAGGAGCATCTCATGTTGGGTCCCAGCTTGCCCATTCTTTTAGCAAATATTTATTGTTGAGCACTTACACTGGGCCACCAGGTTGCTTAGGGTCTTTGCAGCGGGAGACCTGTTAGAGGAACATACGCCAGCAGCCCAGTCAGGAACCAGACAGACAAGCCCAGGCAGAACGACTGCCGTGACTCATAGGCAGGCCTGAATATCTGTCATTCATCCTCGCAATTCTTTTAAGTCGGGGCCTCGAGTAATCGCACTGGCCTGAACACTTCTGCGCTTGTGTGTGTTGGATACTGACTTCACTTCACGTGCTCTGCGAAACCGATCGACTGTCCTCTCCCGCCTCTCGCTCTGATCATAATCCTTTCTGCTCCCGTTTCATTTGCAGCCAGGTGCCCTCCAAACCACACTCCCCACATTTATCAAAGCTAAATAGCTTCCTGCTGCCTCCTCCCACGTCTCTAAAAGCACGCTCCTATTACCTTACTCGGAGAACCTCACCTGAACAGGCAACTTGACGAATGCACTCTCTCTCTTCCCTCAGGTTCTTTATGCCTCAGTCAGAATTCCTGGCTGCCAGCAAGAAGAGGATGCTGGCCATCTTATGCATAAGGGAATTGGAAGGACATGAGAATTCTCAGAATTGGTAGGTGAGAACCAAAGGCTTTTTCTAGGGCCAGGCAGCAGCGTGTCACTGGGGCCACTGTGATAAGGCACCTTCAGCTCCTCCTCGTGTCCTTACTTCATACCCGTAAGATTCAAAATCCTGGGAAATAACATCTGGTTGGATTAGCCAAGGTCGATATTTACTCCCGGCTTCCTGGGTGGGAAGAAGCAAGATCTGACCCATATTGTCAATAAATGAATAAAACAAATAACTAAATAAATAATAAAATGAAAGAAAGAAGAAAAAAGAGAGAATAAAAAAAAACAAAAAGCAAATGAATTATGAATTCCCTAAATGGCTCTTGTTAATTTGTCACCAAGCCATTCAAACTGAAGTTTCCCGTTACTCAATGAGGAGTCAATTACTTCACAGTCCTCAGATCCACACAAGGCTTGTATTTTCCATAAACAAGCCCCCCAAATTGGCAAACACGAGAAGTGCTTCAATTGGATATTCTGTTAATTCACCAATAATCATCTTTGAATGCCATTTATTACAGAAAATTAGATGAATTTAGCATGAGCAGAAAAATATTGATTGGCACCCTCTGAATTTTTAATTTGAGCATTTGATTTATAAATTAATCCTTCATTTCGTCAATTAGAGCAGTGAGGCAGTCTCACAACCCAAACTATGATACTGAGAATTATTGTGACTTTTTTCATCAGCAATTTTAGGTAATAATGATTTATGAAAATGACTTTCTTCTTTGGACCAGGTTATACGTCTTGCTCTAGCAAGCAGCCTCCTGCTTGCCCGGTTTGTGGTTACCTTTTCAGAATCCTCCCCTCAGTCCTTCATTCTCAACCTACCTGCCCATTTTGGCTGGCTGCATTCCAAGCATTTTCACAGCAGGTTGGCCTGGCTGGCCTCACCTTGCCCCAGGATCCTCTAGCCTTTCAGAGGAGTGTTGGGTTTTAGTTGACTCAAAGGACTCTGCTTGTCCAAATGTCTGTCCCCCTAACCTGGTCTCAGCTTGGTGAATTGAAGGAGCACAGTTAATAACTTGTTGACTAACTGAATGAATGAGAAAGTGAACGAGTGCTGTCTCCGTCTGTTTGGCCTTCTATAACAAAATACCACAACTGAGTAGCTCTATAAGCAACACAAAATTATTTCTCACAGTTCTGGAGGCTGAGAAGTCCAAGATCGAAGGCTGGCGGGTTTGGTGTCTGGTGAGGGCCAACCTCCCGGTTCATAGGTGGAACCTCACCGTGTCTTCACGTGGTGGAAGAGATGAGGGGTCTTTCTTGGGTCTCCTTCATAGAGACCATAATCCCATCCATGGGGGCAGAGCTCTCATGGCCCAATCACCTCCCAAAGGCCCCACCTCCTGATACGGTCCCCTTGCGGGCTGGAATTTCAGCGTGTGAGCTTTGAGGGGCACAGACACACACCACAGCAAACGGTTCAGTTTTGCAAGGATCTTCCACCATGAGTATCCCATTTCACCTTTTAAAACACCCTTAGAAATGAAGAAAATAGCGACTTGTCGATTTGCACTCAGGCCCTGGAGTTGGACAGAATCTGATCTTTGACATTTACTAGCCTAACGTGATGGGAGGCAAGTTAATTTACCTCTCGAATACTGTTTCATTACCAGTAAAATGGGAACAGTAAGATTCCCTATCTCATGGAGTTTACTTTGTGGTTACCCTGGGCAGAGGGCAGGATCAGCCTCCCCAACCCAAATTTGACTCACATGTTGAAAGTGATGATGTCACAGATGCACTAAAAGAGCAGAAAAATATTTGTCGCTTGCACATGAGACTTCCTGGGTGGGGGCAGGGCAGGGCGGGCACCCGAGTTGGCCTGAGAACGACTGGAAGTGGCAGGGCCTCTGGTTTCCACTGTAGACGGTGTGGCTGAGGTCCGAGTTCCCACACTCAGGCAGGGATCTGCAGTTCGGATTTCCCGACTGGTGCCAAGGGAGGGAGTGTCTGGCCTTCCTGCTGGTTGCCGAGATGTGGGGCAAAGGGAAATGGGAGTGGTGGGGGCTGGTCAAAATGGAGCCCAACTAATAATCACAGGGTTGTCACGAGAAAATACCTGTCTAAAGCACTTAGCTCAGTGTAGGACTGTAGTTAGTGTTTAATAAATGGATTGTAAATGCTATGGTTGGTTTAATCCTTTTAAGAAGCGTTTGCATTGATGATCTCATTTCCTCTTTCTATAATATTAACCAAAGAAATTGAGAGATCTGATCAGAAGTAGATGTGGCACAATGGGAGCACTCAACAAATGGCAGCTACTGGCATCACCTATCACTATTCTTGTCATCACCACCATCTCTCATGCCATCGTCACTCATCACCACCACCCCCACCATCACCATCACAATCATCACACACCACCACCATCACCATCCCAATCATCACCACCACCACCATCACATCACAATCACTACAACCATCACCATCACATCACAATCATCACCACCACCACCACCATCACGATCATCACCATCACGATCAACACCACTACCATCACCGTCACGATCATCACCATCACATCACAATCACCACCACCACCACCACCATCACATCACAATCATCACCACCACCACCATCACGATCATGATCACTACCACCACCACCACCATCACATCACAATCACCACCACCACCATCAGCATCACGATCAACACCACCACCACCATCACCATCACGATCAACACCACCACCACCATCACCATCACGATCAACACCACCACCACCATCACCATCACGATCATCACCATCACGATCATCACCATCATGATCATCACCACCACCACCATCATATCACAATCATCACCACCATCACCAGCTTCATCATCATCACCATCTCCAATGCCATCATCACTCACAGCATCACCACCACCACCACCATCACAATCATCATCACCATCACTCCTGCCACAATCAGCATCACTGGCATCACCAACACCATGATCACCACTACTGCCACTTTGTTGTTACCATCACCATCACAATCATTACCATTGCCATCATCACCAGCTTCATCATCATCACTGTCTCCAATGCCATTGTCACACTCATCACCACCATCACCATCACCATCAGCAGCTTCATCATCATCACCATCACTCCTGCCACAATCAGCATCACTGACATCACCAACACCATGATCACCATCATTACCACTAGTGCCCGACTGTTGTTACCATCATCATCATCATCACCATTGCCATCTTCACCTCCACCATCATCATCACTATCCCCAAAAGACTTCCCTTAGATTATCCACTTACTTAGATTGGAGAGCTATAGGAGGGCTGTCCGGAAAGTATCCAGCCGTGGATATAATGGATATGTGGATATCAGTGGCTGGATGCTTTCCGGACAGCCCTCGGATATTTTTTGCATCGTTGCAGACCAAATGACACAAGCAATTACAAAAGCTGCAGGCTCACCAGCTTAAAAATAAGGCGTCTAGTAGCAAGGAGTCCTAGCAGGGTGGTTCTCAAAGGCTCACAGAAGCCTTTGAAGACTCTGATTCTTTTGTTCTGTCCGTTCCCATTGCATTACCTGGTCCTCGGCTGGTTTGTGAGATCCAGCAGCATCAACATCCACGCACAGAAGTGTGTGTTTGGGTAGAAAGATGTACGATTTGGTAGAAAAGGGGACTGTTTCTACCTTGAGTTTCTCTTTTTTTTTGAGACAGAGTCTCAAAGAGACTCTTTTTTTGAGACAGAGTTGCCCAGGCTAGAGTGCCATGGTGTCAGCCTAGCTCACAGCAACCTCCAACTCCTGGGCTCAGGTGACCCTCCTGCTTCAGCCTCCCGAGTAGCTGGGACTACAGGCATGCACCACCGTGCCCGGCTAACTTTTTATATATATTTTAAGTTGTCCAGCTAATTTCTATTTTTTTAGTAGAGATGGGGTCTCACTCTTGCTCAGGCTGGTCTTGAACTCCTGAGCTCAAATTATCCGCTCACCTTGGCCTCCCAGAGTGTTAGGATTACAGGCGTGAGCCACCACGCCTGGCCTGAGTTCACGGAAGTGTCTCCCCTTGCCCCTCGCCTTAGCAGCTCCTGGTGTCTCAGAGTGATGGCCTGATGGCCAGAATGGTGTCACACGGTCATGTCTAAACTGGCCACTGGCAAGGGGCATGGTTCAGCCCAACTGATTTACCTTCTAGGGCTGTGGATTGGGTCTGATTCCTTTGAAGTTTATAAGGTACGCAGGAGAGTGCATGTCAATCCAGCAATGAAGAAGGGAGGCAGGATAGTGGGGGGATCATCAACAGAATCTGCTACAGGGCGTGCTGACCGAGCTCCTGTGCCAGTGAGACAGAGCTTGGCAGGGTCCCTCCAGATGGCTGTGGTGGCTGGTGGCCTGTGTGTGCCCAACACATACTGCCAGATAGGGAAGCTCACTCCAGTGAGCCTGTGGGGAAAAGGAAGCTCACGGGAGAATGTCGGGATACGCCCCATCGTCTCAGAGAGCGCAGGAATCGGGACAGCTCCGGGGACGCCCTCCTGACACTCTCTCTTCAGTGCATTTCGGCTGTCGGCAGCCGGGCCACTGAGGGGATGCATCTTCTCGACGCTTCTCTGTGCGTCCGTTTCTCCGTCCTCTGCCCACCAGTGCTGTCTGCTGCAGCCTGCTCCCCGCGTGCCTTCGTGCTTCCAGGGCTGCTGACTGCAGGCTCTGGGGACAGAGAACTTACTCGGCCCATTTGAACCAGTGTGATCCACCAGCGTCCATTCTGGCTCCAATTCGCCAGGACGGGAGGCTGGGTCATGGTGCCACCTGGTCGCTTTGCCCATTTGCTGAGAACTTCCTTTGACGAGGGGGTGGGGAGAGTTACGGGCAAGAAGGAAACGGCTGTGGGAGGAAGTGACGGGCCCCTCTGTTGTTAATGGCTCAATAGACACTGCAGTCTGCTCGCGGCAGCAGCCACACCTCCCTGAGGAACCTGTTGGCACACTGACGCGTGTGTGGCATCCAGAAACCAAGACCCAGAAAAGGTAACGCAGTGAAAAGAATACAGTCTACACCACCAAGAGTGCTTTTCCAAATAGTCCCTTTGTTTGTATTATTTTGAGCACTCTGATGATGAGAGTCTTTGCTGATATGTTTGAGATCTTGTTTTATAAACCTCTGCCATTCACTCTGTCTCATGACACAGTTGTTCTCCATACCTACCCATCTCTCTCTCTCTCTTTTTGAGACAGAGTCTCACTCTGTTGCCCAGGCTAGAGTGAGTGCCGTGGTGTCAGCCTCGCTCACAGCAACCTCAGACTCCTGGGCTCAAGCGATCCTCCTGCCTCAGCCTCCCGAGTAGCTGGGACTACAGGCATGCACCACCATGCCCGGCTCATTTTTTCTATATATTTTTAGTTGTCCAGCTAATTTCTTCCTATTGTTTTAGTAGAGACGGGGTCTTGCTTTTTCTCAGGCTAGCATGTGGCTCTTAATAGGGGTGATTTTGTTTCCCTTGGAGACATTGGGGATGTCTGGGGACCTTGCTGATATCACAGTGGGAGGGGGATGGTGTTACGGGCATCTGGTGGGTAGGGGCGAGTGATGCTGCCGCCCAGCCTACAAAGTGCAGGACAGCCCCCCAACCCCTATCGAAGAACTGCCTAGCCCAAAATGCCAATAGTGCCAAAGCTGAGCAACCCTAGGTTAGGTAATTAATAAATAAAACAGGACGTCCTTTCAATTCTACCTTCCAAAAGATACAGACACACACGCTCGCTCTGTCTGTCTTTCCCCTCCCTCTCCTTCCAGCGCCACTTTGCAAGCTGAGAGCGTTACGACAGAGACTGAAGAGACAACATTTTATTTCACTGTGTCTCTGTTCTCTAATATCTTAGTGCTCCCAGCCCCGGCCTCTTACGCCCCAGCATACAATCCACGAGATTTAAACGTCTACGATGAGATGCTTTCTAAAACATGCAGAATATGATCTCACAAAGTCCCTTCCCAGTGTCCTCTTCTGCACAAAATCTTCAGGCAGTAATTCAACTGGGGGGCCTTTTTCCTATTAAAATAGTTATGTGCCACCGCCCAGGCCCTGGACTGAAGCAGAAGCTTGTTGTCAGCACTGGACATTTTCTCTCTGAGTAATGGAGTTTATTTCATCAAAAATGAGCATTAGAGAGCTTCTAAGGAGACACCATTGTGCTTAATAATGGTTTTGTTTGCCTTGGAAAATGTGAGATGTAGCTGCGTGATGGTAATCACAGTTCCTGCGGGGTTTATTCTGGGGGTTAATGAATTATCATAGTGCTGCGGAAAATTATTTTCCAATAAATGTGGAATTTCATTTTTTTCTGAACCTTCCTTCCCTTTGCCACATTTAGTGTCTTTTGCTTTTTCCATTAAAGATGTGCAACCCCCCCCCAAAAAATGGGCCAACAAAACCTGCTGCATTTTCTTTACCATTTTTGACTCTTCAAAAAAATTACTTGTTATTCATAATTATCAGGTTGCATTAGGGAAAAGGAATGGCATTCAGTAGCTCTCTAATCTGTCAACGGGAGAAGGTTGGTGAGCTTTGCGGAAACTTATTTCTGTGGGGTTTGTTCAAAAATTGGCTGTTTCCACAAAGTTCTCAAGTTCAACCTGGTGGATTGTAATGACTTTAGTACCAAGGTTAATTCTTTTAAACTCATGGATTATTTATGACAATGGCCGGGAATAAATCTGTTGAGCCGACAAAACTGCTTCAGAAAGGCATTCAGCGCTGGCCGGGTCTCCCTGCCATATTGGCAGCGGCTTCCGGGTGGGGCTCGAACTTTTCAAAATGGGTTTGCGGAAATACACAGCCGTCCGCATGCCTCCTCCTCCCCTCTCCTCTCTGAGCTGTAATCGCTAGATGCCTCTGTTGAAGAGCCAGGGCCCAGAAAACCAACCCCTAGGACGAAACGACCATCACTCTTTCCTGGCCAAGTTCAGCGTGTGGAACGGGGGACACAGAAACACAACGGGGGACGACCCCTGACCCCGGGGCCGTCACCCCCCACGTCCTCACACAGCCTGCAAGCTCAAAGGCTCTTTAGCCCTGTGGTGCTGAGCCCGCGAGGGAGCGAGGCCTTCGCTCCGACGGCCCGTGAGGACCCAAATCCGGCCCACAGTCACAGGTGTGATCTTGGAAGCAGATTCTCCCTCGTGGGACCCTCAGATGGGACCGGAGTTCCAGCCAGCACCTCGATGGCAGCCTTGGGAGAGGCCCTGCGGGAGAGGCCGTCAGCCAAGCCTGACCACAGGAATGTTCGTTGTTTTCAGTTGCCAGTTTTAGGGCAATTAGCTTTGCAGCGGCATGTAACTTCCACGCTCACAGCCACGCAGAGTCCCGCGGGCCTCCTGCAAGGACACCCGGTAGATT